ATTGTTCTTATTATTCATTCTTCTTAATATTCGCCCCGTTACAGCCAAGCCTTATATCTCGAATTTGTCCCATATATCGGCTAAAATGGGTAAAATGGTAGTATTTTTGCCGCATTTCTGTTGTTTAGTTTGCGGGGAAACCCCTCTTTACGGAGTATTTCCTGGGGAATTCCCTGTAAGAACCCCTCTTCATGTTGAATAGACTGGATTACATCAGAGTTATCTCTCTATTTTAGATACTCTGTACTGAGTGTCTCATTGTTCCATCCTTGACGATCCTTGTAAATAACCTTACCATGCATGGGACGTAATGCGGGTAACTATAGGCCGTCCCTCGACTATGTCGATACCCTAGATAATATGAGTATGAAAGAATATATGATAGGTATAACCTAGGAAATTTATTCCATTTTTTACCCTGTACCTAAGTAATTTTCTATCTCTATCCCCAGTTGAATATTCGCGATTTTCATATTTGCTGGGAATGTTGCTGACAAAGCGCCTCCAATTCCACTGCAAAACAACCTCGGCCAACTTTTTGACCTTCCCACATACTCTTTCTTTCCAACCTTCACTCAATTATCATGTCAGTTCGACAATGGATAACACCTCTTCGAGGTATCGACAGTCTCCATCAGACAGAGGTCCCGATGCCTTCCCTCGGAGCTAGTGAGGTGCTCGTGGAGATCCGTGCTGTGTCTCTGAACTATCGCGACGTGGAAGGTGAGTACAACATGGGCCTCAAAATGTGGATTCAATAGAGACATTCACTAATAAATAATTTCTAAAGTCACCAAGGGCGAGTACAAACATCACAAGAGCGCCGACCAAGATACCACCATCGTTCCTTGTTCGGATATGTGCGGAGTAGTCATACAGATTGGTTCCGGTGTGAGCCAATGGGCCGTGGGGGATCGCGTTCTGTCTACATTTTTGCCCGAGCATCAGACTGGACAAGTTACTGAGAAGGAATTGGCTGGCAGCATCGGACTCCCGCTGAATGGCGTCCTCGCAACGCACCGGGTCTTCCCCGCACACGGGTTGGTGAAAGCCCCGAGCTATTTGTCTGATGAGGAAGCTTGCACGCTGCCCATTGCAGCTGTCACTGCTTGGATGTCGATCAATGGAATGCGCCCCATGGGCGAGAGTGGTGGCAAGAACGAGTATATTCTCCTCCAAGGCACAGGAGGAGTGGCCATCTCCGGATTGCAAATCGCGAAGGCTGCCGGCGCCAAGGGTTAGTGCAAAGTGCCCGTCCGCTGGAGATGTTGACCTGGAGATGTATAACCGCTAACCTTTACAGTGATCATCACTTCCTCGTCAGATGCGAAACTCGATCAGGCCAAGCAGCTCGGTGCCGACCACACCATCAACTACCGCACGACGCCCGGTTGGGAAGCAGAGGTCATGCAATACACGAACAATCACGGGGCGGATATTATTCTAGAGACTGGTGGAGCGCAAACTCTGCGCAAAAGCTTTGACTGTATTGCCTTTGGTGGACTTATTGACTGCATTGGCTACGTTTCTGGCAAGGTGGACGCAGAAGATGACCGATTGAACGTGAACATCCTGGCTCTGCGGCGCACTGTGACCCTGAAGGGTATCATCAATGGACCCAAAGACCGGTTTGAGGAGATGATCCGATTCTACGAAACGCATCAGATCCGACCCGTTGTGAATAAGGTCTTCCCCTTCGCCGATGCCCAAAAGGCCTTCCAGTTCGTGGAGAGCGGCAATCACTTCGGCAAGGTAGTGATCAAGATCCAATAGAAGAGCGAATGACAAACGCAGATATCGAGACATACTCTTAGTTACTATCCGGGTTTCCACAGCCTACTCGGACCATGATGGAAGAAAGGAATGCACTGTGCATTGGATGTACGCCAGCTACACTACTGGTCATTCCCACTCGGATTCAACACACCGGTCGCGATTCCCAACTCTTCCTTCATTTCCACCCCGGCCACTGTGAGCGGTTGGCAATCCTGCAAAACAAACACCATGCGTGCCCACTCCGTCTCACTTGGATTGCGCCAGCCGTGCATTGTGGCCCTCTGGATAGCGATATCTCCACGCTGCATCCGCACCGGATCACCCTCTTCCACCATCATTTCCACCTGGCCCTCCAAAACGATCCCGTAGTCGAGGCTCTGCGTACGGTGGACAACACATTTATTGTTCGGGGCGAAATCGACAATACGGCAGACGGTACCTTTGGGATTGACCAATCCCAGTTTGCCGGATTGTTGGACCTTGTCATGGGTGGCGATATCCGCGTCCTGGTTCAAGTCCGCCGGGAATTGGGAGGTTGTGTAGACCACATTGAATGCCATCTGGCTCTCCTCATACGATTTCCAGTCGCCGGGCGTGGAGGACTGTACGATCGCTTTACCGGCGGCATTATGGCCGGTGATATGCCGGGTCACTGGTGGGAGCGGCGAAATTTGACCGGGGTTAGACATGGCGAAGATAGGTTATTTGATGTGGTTTTGGGGGGGGGGGGATTTTGGAGGATCTTGCGTTGGGAAACTTCCTCGAAATTCAAAATTTCAGGTCCTTCTCATCTTTAAACCTTTTTCTCTCCTTTTCAGGATTTCTGTCCCACTCAATTGCAGATGCGAGACACATGACTGCCCCCTTCGAACAGCGGTGAAGACAAGCATGTCTCCAGGCCAACTGCTGGTTGTGCAACCTGAAAATCGGTCTTGTCTCAAATATGGCTGAGGATCACCCATGTCTGCTACAAGCTTGAAGCCATGGCAGATTGCCGTCCCCTTGGCCCTGTCCCCGTCCCCAATTCCCGACCGCCGCCTCCCCCACCGTCGTGTCGAGTGGAGCAATGGGGGGGCCCTGGAAATGGAAATGGAAATTAGGAATCTGCTGCCACTCGCTTAGACCCTCCAGCCGACCGGAGCTCACGGACTTCTCCATCTGGACCAAGTCCCCAGTTTCCAGTTTACTGTGTACTCGTACCAGGTCTCGCGGTTCCTCCGACTGTGGGGACACTGGGGACAGGAGTGTGGGACGGATGGGTCTGGGGTTTCTGGGGAAGATGCCGTGGAAGAAGAAATGACGTGGGACTCGGCTGGACTATACACAATTGGCAATTCATTATTTCAGATTTACATACATTCCTCATATCACATTGGCGGGCTCAAAGGAACCAGCGGAACTCGGCCGATGCTGGACCATCACGCATGCGCTCGGTCGGAATATCGCGTGCGTGGATTGTCACTCCATCGTGACGATCCCGACGCTTGTTGTCCATCCACATGTACAGTCCCAGTAGACCGGCCAGGCAGGCACCGGTGGCTCCAAAGGCCATGACGGTGATCAAGGCCGGCATGTACTTTGGGGCATCTTGCTCACGGAATACATTGCTGCCAACCAGACCCATCAGATTGGCCAATGGAACACCGATACTAGTCAACAATACACGACGACCTTCATGCGCGATGTTGTTGTTATACCACGTACTCAACATCACGGAAGGCGCCGAGGTGCCCCAAGTCATCATGAATGTGGCAAAGTAGGCCAGCTGCAGGTTATTTTGGACATCATTAATGGATGCGTAGATTGCGAACCCGCAGAAGGTGAGCAGGAAGCCCAGGACGATGAACGGCGAACGCAGCTTGGTGAAGTCAGAGCTAAAAGCCAGAACAAGAAGCATCGCCGCGCCCGTCACGTTCGGGGCGACGGTATAGAGATTGGTCTTCACGGTCGAATAGCCCAGTCGAGCAACAATTTGGGGCATAAACAGGGCCACGCCCTGCAATGGAACACCCAAGCAGATTTCGATGCACAGAAATACATATGTGGAAAAGTGCTTGAAGATCCCCAGGGCCTCGCGCAGTCGGAACTTTTCATTAACCACCGCAGACGAATCGACTTGGATTCGGTGGAAGGCAAGGGCTTTTTCTTCCTCGCTCAAGAATGTCGCCTCGGCCGCGCTGCGAGGTAAATAGAAGAAAGCAAAGACCGCAAAGATGACCGTCACAGCACCCTCAATGATGAACAGATACCGCCAGTTGGGCAGACTTGAGCCCTTGATCTGGAAGACTCCAAAGGCAATGAGACCGGAAAAAGCGTTGGCGATGTTGGAAGCCGCGTAGAATACACCCAATCGGCGAGCAAGCTCACCACGACGATAGAAGGTGGTCAAGTAATAGATCACCAAAGGGAAAAAGGCAGCCTCGGACATACCCAGGAACCAACGCAGGGCGAAGATGCCACCAAAGTTGTTAGCAGCTGATGAGAGCAGAGTGAAAGAGCCGAAGGAGAACATCAACACGGGCAATGTGCGAGCCGGGCTGAACTTCTTGCCCAGCATGGAGAATGGCGGCGCGAAGATGACGAAAGGGACGAAGAAGATGGACAGCAGCAGGTTATACTGATTCTCCTTGAAATGGAGATCCTCGGTCATTCCATCAGTTTTGGCGTTACCCAAATTTCCTTTATCGAGGGCATTGAAAAGGTCTAGAAGCATCAAATATTGTCAATTAGCGACCGCCTCAATTCACTAGCTACCTTCTAATATCAAAAGGAGGAGCGGCTCTTACACATCACGGCCAGAATGGGCAAGAGTCGAATATCGAACCGGCGGCATAGCCTTCGTTCGGCTTTGTGATCGACCACGCGGGTGACCTCGTCCACCACTCCCGGAACCGATGCAATACCTTGCAGCTTATCGGGCTCATCGGCACTCCCGGCAGTGGCCGTCTTCTTGGTCGTGTCGTCCAGCGACGGTTGCGATGTGTGACCCATATTGGAAAGGAAGGGGGGAGGTTGGCTGGCAAACTTGTACTTTTGACGTTACAAGCTGCTATACAGGAGAGCAGAGGAAAAGAAACAAATGAAAAAGAAGAGGAGGAGGAGGAAGAAGAAGAAGAGAAGAGGAAACAGGGACCGCGCCTAAGCTTCCTGCAAGACAGCAGATCAGGGCCTTATCATGCTAGTAGAAGCACCTTGCGGCGATGCAAAGGGATGTTGCATTACCATCACAGACTTTCAATGTCACCCCCACGTTTCTCCGCATTGACTGGCAACGGGGAAGCCAGCGACAGCAGAGGAGAGGAGAGGAAGAGGGTCCTCTGGACTCCTGGGGCACCGCCGATCGTATCGGACTTGCGCCGCACGGTTGCATCCGGGGACTTGCGCCTTATCTGGGTCTTTGCCGAGGGATCCATTGGAATACGGGGGAAGGGGGGAGGTGTTGGGATGGATTTTCAAGGTACATACGAGTACGCCATATAGCTGGGAGCACTTAAGATAAACATGCATGCCTCGGACTGAAGGGAGGAGGAAAGACTACGAGTCAAGACTCGGATAACGCCAATCGTGTTTCACATCCCCCCCCCCCTTTGCCTCTCCCTCCCTGTTCTCCTCGAGACATAACTACGATTATTCCAGTGGCGGGTTTCCTCAGCACCACCGTACCAATTAAGGTTAGTTAGTCCTTCAAGATGGACATCGGGGGGGGGGATGGCTGGAAATGCCGATTGCGGCAAGTCGTTAGGGTTGCATTCAACCACCGTCATGCTCATGCCGCTCAGACAAAAATGGTGGGGAATAGTGGTAAGAGTGGAGGGGTTTTACAATTCTGACGGGCAATTTCATGTCTATCTTTTATTTCTCTGGTAGTTGGCCGTTTATGTCCGATCTATCTACTCCGTACTCCGTAGTCCATACCCTATCAAGCCACTCACTCACTATCAGTCGGGGTACCTTGAGATGCCGTGGGGACTTGAATACTTGGACTCTCCACCGAACCCACTCCGACCGACCACTAGTATTCCTCCAACCTATCCGAGCGTCAGTCTTGTCCGGGGTCAAATAGTAGTTTCGGCTGGCTTTGAATGGTGGAGCAAAGCATCCTCTCAGAACCAGTTGGAATCAAGCGCCTGCCGGCTTAAGCAATCCAGCAGGATCATATCGGCGAGTGATAGGTATCATCATAGAAGAATTTGGGGAGGTGGTAGGTGATTACTTACGTTGTACCTGTTGTGATGAAGAGGAGAGCTGGATAGAACAAATCGAAACAATCGAATTGATTGATTGAATGGAGGTTTGGGCTGGCTAAGCACCATCTTTATAGAGCTACGAGTATACCAGGTGGTCCTCCGATCACCCTGACTCTTCTTGACTCAATTTGACTCATGGCAAACATGGAGATGCCTCGTATTCAACGACTGCCGAGACCTCCTTCTAATCCCAATTAGGTACCCGACATCAAGCTAAGCTGCGGCACAAGCCGATCATCCGAGTGGTTCAGCTTGAACTTGAAGGGTGACTATGTGCATGTGAAGGTATGTTGCTTGCTAGACTGTTACTTTTACGCTGTCTATACTCTAAGCTAACTGACTTAAGCTCTTCGGGTCTTCGCATCGGCTTGAATGGCCTCTTCGGCCCGACTCTTCCAGTTCTCCTCCCAGCGAGAGAGTGCCGGTCGCCCTTCAACAACATCCTCGCTACCCCATTTCATCCGTGCTTGATCAAGAGCCGGATCAGTTTCTCCGTCTGGGCAGACAATGTAGAATGCCCCCCTTTCAAGGCCCTTGACTAGCTCCTCGGCGACCTGGCTTGGATACCAAGCTCCGGCAGGCTTCTTAACCTCCGCCTCGTCGGTAGGTCCGACATTACCCATCAGTCCAGTCCACGTCCAGCCGGGGATCAAGATATGTGCGGAGATATTCTCCGTAGCCGGATCGGAGCGCAGGTCGAAGGCGAGATGCTCCGTCAGGTTCTTGATCGCCGCCTTGGATGCATTGTATGCGGGGTTGCCGGCCCCGGGAGGGTTCGTGATGCCTTGTTTAGAGCCGGTGATGACAATAGACTTGGGAGCATTGTTCTTTGAAGCTGTCAAAAAAGGAAGAAGAGCTTCCAATCCATTCAGTGGGCCTCGAACATTAGTATCGAAAGTCTTGTGAGCAGAAAGAATCAGGTTAGCCAGGGGCTCGGTGGCAAGACACACACACAGAGAGAGAGAGAGAGAGACTCTGACCTTCTCCCAATAACTTCCATCCAGCCACGGCTTGAGACGTCCAATAGTCTCGGTTTCCTGAGGCTTATATCCCTTTCCAGCATTCAACACCACCAGGTCAATATCTTGGACGATATCAGCGATCCGCGTTGTGATTTCTTTCCATCGGGCCGCATCAGCTACATCAAGAACAAAGGCCTCGGTAATCAAACTTGAATTGAGCTTTGTCAATGTTGTTTTTGCTTTGACGAGATTCTCATGGTCTATGTCCAATAGCAGCAGATGCATGCCCTTGCTTCTACAGAGCTTGGCGATGGCATACCCGACGCCTGAAGCAGCGCCGGTGATGAGGGCAGTTTTTTGGGGTTGAATGACGGATTGCATGATGTGGGTAATTTGAAAGAGAATTGGTCAGATATAAAGAGAAAGAGAAAGGGAAGAGAAGAGAAGAGGAGGAGTTGGCCAAAATCATGGCGATGTCAAGGCGGGGTTAAGCGGTTATCTCCGCCTTCTCACCGACTTCGCATCAACACATCAACACATCAACACTCTCTCTTCTTCCTCTTCCACAACACATACACACACACATACCACTTCCCGCCATGTCAGACTGTCCCCCTCTCGAGGTGGGCGATCCAACTACTCCAGGTTTGTCCTTTCTTTTGAGCTTGCCCCGCTAGTGCTCGCGTTAATCCGATTCTCTACCCCAGCACACTTCCTCCACTCCGACTCCGATCTACCACAAACCATAAGTCACCGGGGTTACAAGGGAAGATTTCCCGAAAACACCATATGTGCAATCGACGAAGCCATCAAGGCCGGTACACATGCGCTGGAACTGGACCTGCATCTCTCGCGGGATGGAGTGGTTGTGTTGTCCCATGTGAGCATGCTCTCGTCTGGTGAATGACGGAGAAGGAAAAACGAAGTAGTCTTGCTCATCCCTTCAGGATGCGAATTTGAAACGATGCTTCGGGGTCAAGAAGAAAGTGGCCGACTGCGACTGGGCCGAGTTGAAATCCCTCCGCACACTGATGGAGCCGCACGAACCGATGCCACGTCTGGTGGATGTCTTGGAGTTCGTACGACAGCCCGGTCGCGAGCATATCTGGCTTCTGCTGGATATCAAGGTAAACGGATCTTGCTGAATTCCATGAAATACAGTGGAAGGTGCGCCAGTGCTGATCAACTTGAGCCCAGCGTAACAATGATCCAAATACCATCATGAAACATATCGCCGAGGTAGTCGAATCCGTGCCCATCCCCACCATCGGCCCCGACTGGCATCGACGAGTCGTTCTCGGCAGCTGGTCGGCTCGATACTTCGACGCATGCACTAAATATCTTCCTCGATATGCCATGACCCTGATCTGCTTCGACCTGAGCTACGCGCGTCAATTTATGCATGTGCCCCGCATCTCCTTCAATGTCAACCAAAAGGTTCTCATGGGTCCGCTCGGTCGAGGATTTCTCGAGGAAGCCCGTTCTGCTCGCCGGCGGGTCTATGTCTGGACCGTTAATGCCCCCAACTTGATGCGCTGGTGTATTCGCCACAAGGTAGATGGTGTCATCACGGATGAGCCGGTGCATTACCGGGAAATCTGCGAAGGGTGGGAGAAAGAACAGAGTGATCCAGCATTGAAGGACCAAGATCCATCTCTCGATAGACTTACTTTCTCCCAACGGCTCCAGTGCTTTCTCGCCACTGGCTTCGTTGTGCTTTTTGGGTGGGCTTTCACTCGCAGGCTGTAGTGGTCTGCATCTCTCGGTTACGACGAAGTGGGAGCAATCTCGGGAAAACAGAAGAGCTTTCCAACCAACTCTTCTCTTTGAACATTGACCTTTGCATTTACACTTACACCTACACTTACGTTTTTAACGCTGTCATGATCCATAATATAATTTCGGTTCCTTTTGTCCTAATATTTGTACTCGTTGAAAAAATATTTGTACACACAAAATGTGAAGAGCGCCACCATCCAAGCACCGAACCGACGGATTAGACATTAAACATGTCGACATGACCGTGTCCAAAAACGAAAGAAGGCAAACAATATGAACGGCCTTAAAGCAAACCTTGGGCACCAGTCCAGATAGCTGCCCAGAACGAGCAAACGCATGAGAACTTGTACAGGAGTGGAAAAAGAAGAAGATACAGGTGAAGAGTATATAAGTCCAAAATGTGGCATAGCAAGGCAAAAAGCAACGATCAACGCCAGGTGGCACCAGCCGAATGAATGAAAGCAGGGTGTGAAGGGTATAATGCAGTTTATAAAGCGAGTGGCACTCCGAATGATCTGATAATGGGGAATATTTGGAACATCGGGTGAATGGGAATGTGAATGGAAAGAAGAAAGTCTGGAGCTTTCTAGAGGCTCGCGGGCCCGAAGGATCGGGTGTTAATGTGCGGGACCCATTTATTTATCAGATCATCATGAGTTTTGTCGTTCGTCGCTCAGGGAATCGTCTAGCACCGCCCGAAGGAAAACGTGGGCCGGGACGAAGTCCTCCCTGGGATGGTGCAGGAGAAGGTGGTGGGCGGTACCCTCCAGGGGGAGGATATCCACGAGTCTGTGTTTGTGATAATGGCGATGCACCAATCGTAGGTCGTCGTCTACCTGGGGGGGCCTGGGTGTCCCCCAGCTCCCGGTGGTGGTCGGTTATAGGCATTTGAAGCGCGTTGTGCGTCTCGCTCGCAGTAAACGCCGCCATTCCACTCAAAGTAGTCGCCTTTCAGCATGATATGGCAGGTTCGGCATTGCAGACAATTGAGGTGGAATCGACGACGGTCTGGTCGGGCGCCAGTACGCTCAACGGTCTCCAGGTATTCACCCTCGATACCGTTATGGCAGGTTGAGCACAAAGAGCCATTCCGCTCATGGTAATGTTGAGCGCAATAGGGTTTGTTGTTGAGGACATAGAAATCGGCTGTTTGGAATGGAGAGGAACACTCAAAGCACACGAAGCAGCCCCTGTGGTATTTTCCCGTCAAGCGACCATCCGAAGAGGAGACGGACTTGCCGGTGATTTCTTCTCCACATCCTTTGCAATTGCCCTTGGACCTAGTCGTGGAGCGAGTCGGTGGACGGGGGATCGGAGTTGTGGCGGCTCGCTGCAATGGTCGTCGCGGCGAAGGCGGATCTGATGGTGGTGGTTGTGGAGAGGAGGATTCTTCGTGCCTTTCCGCAATCAATGACAAGCTGCCCTGGTTAATGGCCGGGTCGGTGGGCGAATCGGGGCTAAAGAAAGCAGCTGGGATGGGCGGAACTTCGTCCATGGTGTTCCGAATGCGGCCTGGCAGCTCCAGAATAGTTTGTCGTGTGCGCGGCGGTAATTCCTCCACGAGCGGACTGAGGTTCAGGGGATCATTGGGTTTGAACCGGCTGAGACTGGTATCGGAGGGGAGGCTCGACATTGAACTGCCACTGTTGGCTTCTGACGGGGATGATTCAGAGGACACTGAGCTCTCGGCTTTCTGCATTTGACCCTCCAATCCTAAAGCACGCGCAAAACTTGTCACTGAGACGGCGCTATGAGTTGAAGCGTCGGAATTTTTGCGTGGAGTGTCAGCAACAGGCTCTGAGGCTGCAGCGGCGGGATGAAGATGATTCTGAGGGGGTAGTGGAAAGTCTTGGGTTGGACTAGCTTTTGGTTCCTCGGGGGAACGCTCTTCAAGGAGGTCATTTAAACCACTAGGGTTGGGATTGGTTGGAATTCCAAAGTCAAACCCTCCAAACGGTTCTTGCCTGTCGCTCTGGCATGATGAGCTCGCGGAAAGTTCCGAGTCTCGTGAGAAAGAAGACTTGTTTGGCGTCCGTAGCGGCGCTGGTGGCAACGGTGGAGTCTCATCGATAAACTGGTTGAAGCCACGGGAGAAGCTATTGGTGGACGATCTCGCCGTAGAGCTGCCATACCGTGTGCTGGCCAGTGAGGTGCGGTAACTACTCTGGCTGAACATTGATTCATTCCGCTGATGGGCCTGCTCAGTTGATTCTGGGGCCGGAGGAAGTGGACTTGGGGGTAATTGTACCTCCTCCGGGACCAAATCCAGGCCCAGTCCATATCGTGGGGATGGAGTGGGTGCTGGGGAGCGTGCCGGGGAGCGCGCTGGGGTCTCTGTTGGCATTGATAATCCGTGCGTGCTCACACGAGTGGGAGATCGATTCCCCGGCATAGGAAATGAAAATACATTGTCTAGGTTCAGGACCGAATCGTCATCGGGGGATATCTGGCGCGGGTAGGGTTGGACAGGGGATCGAGGCGCCGATGAGACTGAGAGAGGAGATGGCATATGCGAACCAATACTGCTTGCCGGGGTTGGAATATTCGGTTGAAGGAATGCATTATCTGCGAACCGTTAGTACATGATGCTTATTTCCATTGCGCTTTCGTTGCTTTTCTCTCCCATTTCAACTTCTCCTTCACGTACTTGCGACAGTAGGATCGATGCGCGGGGGAGCGCCTCGTCCAAACTTGGTGGCCATGGCCGTTGTCAATCGATCTGGTTCATCGAACCCCGCAGAGGGGGGTGGTGAAGGGATCGCCGTCATCGGTGCTTTATTCGAAGGGGAGTCAGTACGAGTATACTCCAATGAAGTCCAGTGGTTGTGGTTGTCTGGCACAGAAGGGACTGACCATGTTCGATGCTCGTGCAGATATGGTCCCCCATGGCGAAGATCTCGACATTGCATCCACAGTTGGAGCATTTTATCGTGGGCAAGAAGCCCGATTCCATTGCCATTCTGACTTCAGTCGATAAAGATCATTGAAGGGATTGGGGCAGGCAGCCCGGGCTTCGAAGTTTTGCGCAAGTCGGTACGAGTACTCAAGAACTGCGGGGGAGGAAGTAACTGAGTGTTCTGGAAGAGACAGAACGAAAGGGCCTCCCAGGTGGAACCTTGAACCTGGAGAGGTGACGCGCTAAAAGTAGCGTCGTCGTAAGTGCATTGTCATTCAGGGGTATCCAGCAGAGGAACAATCAACCCTCCCGCACTTTGGCCCCCTCGACACCCCCCCCTTCTGCTTTGTTATATACGCTTCTATTTCACCCTCTGCAGCTCAATCCCACTGAACAGCAGGATCAAAAGGTTCTATGAACCTTTGCAGTTCTCTGGATGAGCTCTCTCCCGTCCTCTACCATGCATTCCTCGTACACACGGATCACGACCTGCTCGCACTCTCCCGCGCCGAGCCGATCGTCCAGGGGGTGGATCCCTCATCATCCAACCGCAGTGCATTCTGACTGAATGCCTGGACGCGACCCAGGGTCCTCGACGGGAGATTTGACAATTCCACTCTCCACTTCTGGGAACTTGGTACAATCACCGTGCGCGTTCGGGGGGGCGAGTCTTCTGTTGAAGGGGGCCACCACTCTCGATCTGGATCTGAATATGGACATTGCACCGGGCAAAGGCTGTTGTGCATTGCTGCTCTGCCTTGTCATTCGATACGCTCTGCTTATGTGCTTCCCCACCGCTTCCCTCGCGTCACACTTGGGGGCGCAACAAGGCGCGCAGATCGGCATTCCTAGCTACTCTGATGGTTCCTGCAGTTCCCACGGCGGTCTCCGTTCGTTCAATTTCATGCCTTCGCTTCGGGAATATCAAGCTGGCCGCCCCTTTGGCTTTGGGGCTGTTTCTTTTTCTGTTTTTGTTTTGATTTTTGACTTTGCTTGTTTGCTTGCCGTCTCGTGGCCGCCTTGCTGCCACCTGTCAATGCGAACTATGTATCATCATCATGATGAGGGGCCACAGTCACAGTCAGGGCCCAATCGCAATTCGAATTGCGTGCTCCTTGGGAGATTGGTACGTATAGTAGGTAGTAGTCTCTGGCTGTCCCTCTTGTCTTCCTCTTCATATTGCGTCGACCTGGCATACAGATACTCCGCACTCTGTAGATTGTCTCAATTTCTCTTATATCGCCTCACATCCTCTTCAAGACATCCCCCAGGTCTCCCGCAATTGGCGCTGCAGCGCATGAGTTGGCCATCCGTGCGATGAGTCGGTGCGGATCAGGATTTGGATCAACCTTTCTTGTTCCTGCCGATCCGTGAATCGATCGCCACCTGTCAACGTTCAGCTTACGTTCTCTCTCATATTGCATGTATACATTCTGTCGATCGTCGCTTCTTACAGAGATGGATTGCCATGCACCCCACTACCATCGCTGGAGGCACGGCGTCGTTAGCCAACGCCACACCACAGACGGTCCAGACCCCCTTGCGGATCTGATACTGTGGCCGGGGAATATCAGCATCCATCATCAATGATCCTAAAATTGGGGCTCAACTTACATCAGCTTCCTGAACAAACCGTCGCCGCAAGGGTCCCACGGTAGGATGTCCAGGGTTATGCACTGAAAGCAGAATGCGGGCCAGCTCGTTATATTGGTTGCCAATCGCTGCAGGGATCGGTTCACAATTAGGCTCATTCATTCGCAATCGCCCAGCTTGGACAATGCTGATGCCTGGGGAGCAGATCACCTACCGTGCCAGGGACAACTGAAACGAATGTCGGGAAAGTTTGCACCTATCTCCACCTCGTCACTCCCTACAAAATAGGGGTCAAACGAGGCTGGCCTCGCCTCGCTCCACCGTTCAGTCTTCTTCTGCAAGCTTTCATGCACCGCCACCGAGCGGGGTCCGTCGCCGAACGAAAATAGAAGCACATCAGCGCAATGCGCAATTGCTTGATTTGCCCACGCGCAATCGCCAGCATCGGGCCCCAAAGCAGTGAACAGGGAGTGAAGGGAGCTCAAGTCAATATCCGGTGCTTGCTGTAAACTCAGGGCATTGTAGATCTCTTGTCGAAGCCCACTCCAATAGACCGCCTGTCGTAGACTCGGGGTCGTCGTCGTGGAAGGCGGCGGGCCCTGGATGAATGCTTTAGTCCCAAAGGAATGGCCACGAAGATCCGATCCCGCCAGTGGGACTATGGATCGCCGTCAGCGCGGACCTCACTATACTCCGTATGGGGTTCAAGTTTCAGGCAAAAGGTTCCACTACTCACCATCGAATTCTTCCAGCAGCCGGAGGATCACCGTCGCGGCCAGCAGATCGTCATCCATTGTAACCCCGTGGTTGCTTAAAGCGGGAATCAGGGTTTCTAAACAGGCCTGGTAGTATTGATCTGATACATAGGGGTCAAAGGTCGTAGTACAACTCAAGTGACGGGCAGAGAGGGCCATGAGGGCGTTGAATAACGTGTCGCAATATCGTGCCCTGTGAGGGATGTGTACCGCGAAATGTTGCTGTCGATCTGTGCAGTCAAACTGAAGCCCGTCAGAATCCGAAGAGCCTCCTCGTTGACATGCAATGATGGACTCACAAAGGATGCGATGCGATCCACGAAGTGTTTCAATAGGTAGGCCTCTTCCGGGTCTCTCAAAGGCCAGGATCGTTGACCTGGTCGCAACTCGCGACGTACACCGGTCGGGTGGAAAGGTGGGTGATGTTTCATTCCATCTCGATTGGTCCGGTATGTGTGTAGTTTTGGCTCTTCCCCCGAACGAGCTGGTTGGGAGCCAAGAGACTGGGAGAGATGGCTCTGGCTGCTCGGGGATGGCCTGTTGTCCGGCTGGCTCAACTCTCTGTCGGCGACTCGGAACTCGCTTTCAATCAGTGGATGGGCTTCATCGTCAGGGTCCCCATTGCCGGATTCCAAAACAAAATCCACTAAGGTCAAGCGGGTCGAGTCAGTTGGTGTCGCGGCGATTCCTATCTATGGAATGGGGTCTCACCTCGCGGCGGCGGTCGAAGCCACACCTGATTTCGTGGGAATCGAGTTCGTGGCCCTTGTCCTGGACCCTTGACCTGCCTGAATTGTGTCTCCTTTTTCCCTCGTACGCATGCCCGGCCGGTCCGAGCGCATCGCCCGCATTGAGGAAGAATGCCGTCGCCTTGGGAGAGAAAGGTTAGCTTCAGAAAAAGGTGCTATAGCCATGGGCAATGTGGAGAGGACTCGGACTCGCATTTGTGGTGAAGCAGGCGACAGGGATCACTATATTGTATTAGCAATAGGTAGCGAGTATTCCATGCCGTAGTTCCAAGGTTACTACTGACCAACATTTGACCTTTAAGTTCTTCGGCACTGGCATACCTATGTAATTGGAGTGAGGAGTGAAGTTCAGAAGTTTCCAAGTTGTGCGGGGGCGGGGCGGTCACTTTGCGGGGAGTTGGAGTCACGGGATACAACAGCCCTGGAGTATACGAGGAGTAGGAGTAATGATGGATGATTGTGATTATCTACCTGGGTATACCTAGGTAGCTAGTAGTAGTACTAATAGTACCTTGACGGGTTCGCAGTCATGGTGATTGGGTGGGCTGTTCAATTCTACCTAGGTAGGCTGGTACGGAGAAATATATACTTAGTAGGTACCTAGGTAGAGGGTTATGCTCAATTTCTATGAATCCTCTCTTCTTTCTCTACTAGGTATCTATATCTCTACTACTAATATTATCAATGTCAAGGTCTACTACTAGTACCACCCACCCCCCCCCCTCACGTAGAATTGGAGTTGTCGCCGCACGAAAAAGCCACCGAGCCTCCGCTTTCACTATAGGCGGTCATGATACTCAAAACTGAACCGTATGTCCCAGCCACCATGAGGAACACCCCCAATATGATCAGGGTAACACTCCACACAGTGCCAAGAATCCAACTTTTGGTCTTCTTTTGGCTCTTACCCTTTTCCCAGTTATCGTATAACCACATAGCCCCCATCGGCTGAATACACAAGACCGGCCCAAGCAAGGCACCAATAAGGGACACCAGAGCATTAAAGACTGGAATCGTACTGGCAATGATCCAGGCTATCACCGTCACGCCAAATGTGCACCCAAACCAACTCATCCAATGCGTTGGCGTATTGCTGCTTAAGTGCTTAGAGCCGCGCAATAGGTGAACGAAAATGAACTTCGAGGGTATCTAGAGATAGTTGAAATTAGCATGCTTCCATATTTGACTCCCGCTGATTTGCTTACATGTGTAACAATTGTCATAGTACCGAGAAGCCCGGGCAATGCAAATCCGTAGCTGACGATCTTGATAACACCGCCAGCTGAACCGAGTGCCGGTGAAGAAACGTAACTGCCGCAGTAATAGTAGATTACGCCACCAATGATAGCATATACGGCAGTGACACCGGCCTGGCAGGTAGCCATAGCTGCAGGATATCGTTCGGGATTTCTCATCTCCGAAACGATGGAAAAAAATCCTGAAAGAGAGATTAGCATGTTGTCGCGGATCTCGTGATAGGAAATCATGTTTGAGTTTCCTACGTACCAGGCGTGCCGGAAAAAGCAAATAAAAGACTAGAGGCCGCCGCAATTCCTTCTGCGAAAGAAGGATTGCCAACAACCTTCCAATCGGACACCCAGGGACCACCTGTTGCCGGTGCTGCAGCAGGACGATCCTGTATTCCAACTGCAATCGTGACGGTAATAACTAAATTACGTCAATCTCTTGTTTCACATATTTTTACTAGACAAACATACCGGCAGTGATAATACATGGTAGACTAACCCATGCAAGCCATGTAATACGACCTAAGGTCCGAATGCTACTGAAGCCAAACCCAACGATGGCTGCGACGGCAGCAAACACAGCGGTACAGGTTGCATGACTGAGACACTGCGTTCATGCCGATGGATAGACTGAGTATGGCTGATCCACTATTGAAGATATAATCTGGAATTGAAATCAATTAGCGTTCTGGTTCTCGGTAGATTGAAAAATTGGACCAGAACATACAAAGACAGAATCCACTGGCCAGATAAATCCGACCAGGTAAGCCAAACATGATCCCACCAGCATCGCCAATACTGTAAACCTCTCGGTGCTTCAATTTAAACGTTCCAATAATATACCCAGACCATGTAGTGATGAAGGCCATAACAAACAGACAGATGATACCTGGGACCATGCCCAGGATATCGAAAGCAGATGGGATAGCGAGAACTCCGAGGCCGATCTGAGATTTCATCATGAGAATGATCGTTCCAATGAAGCCGACCTAGAGTTCGATTAACTATCCATAGTGTCAATTGGTTAACCATGATGTACTCACATTGCGGAAGTTGGGGGCATCGTCAGAGAGCTCGCCAAACACATCGTCGTGATTCTGTTGAACTCCAACGGTATGCTCAACATGCACAGGCACCTCAGCCTCTAGATCTTTCTTCGATCCAGCCATTGTGGAAGTTGAAGAAAACAAACCACTAGGGTGAATTTTGACCAAGAGTGATGCCCGATCCATCCCTTTATACAGGGGCTTCGACAGGGCAACCAATGGTGATCAACCTAATTCACTTCGGGAATTGTTGGATTCTGGAGTCCGCCGCAATTCAGAAAGCTTCAATTTTCTTGACATCGGGGGTGAGAGGGGGGTGAAAAATATGTCGGGGTCGAATTGAGCGTGGTGTGTTGAGGGACGAATCGCTATTAGGTTCCTCGTCGCGGGTTCTATCTGACTGGACTTTTCCCCAGTCATTTCCCATAACATCGGCACTTTTGATCACCTTTCGAGAAATTCGGAGATTGCGATTATGTTCCATACACAAGGGATGCCGGTGGATTCCGTGATATGTACTCCTGTGCCTAATGAGGTAGGATAACTCACGCTGGGTGACAAAATCGGTTGGTCGCTCACCGGCTGTTTACTGAAAAGATTGGTCTCAACATTCGCCTGCTAGACTGGCTCGGTGGTCTGTCTAGATTGTTAATTTAAAAATTTTGTCAGGGATCAGGGACTATAAAGAATAATTTGGGCTACCCCATGTCAGCAGTGGCATGGCTGGCCGACTGGCTGACTGAGTACGATATCGAATTCAAGGCGAAACAAGTCATTATGTAGGAAGACACCGGGGTACTATTGGATTCGAAGTGGGTTATTTATCTCAAAATTGATACGATGTAATTCAAGTTGGGAATTAAAATATATTTTTATGATCGTAGTACAGAGTACCTATTATCTAGTAGTTATAGTAAATAGTGTACTAGTCCCAGTAGTGTTCTTCAAAGTTGAATAACTTCAAGTTCCAAACCTCAACTCCACTATTGGGCAATTCCAAGGCTATGTGCTTCCAACTACACTGTGATGCTATTACTACTAGTATACTGTATCCTGGTTGTAACTACTACTATAGATGTTCGATATGCTGGTAATGCTGAGAGTAACAGGTCTCTAATTACGTCATCCTGGACTTCAACTTCATCTCGACCAGTCACAATCACAACCACCACTCATAACCACTCACTCACTTCACTTCTCCTGTCTCACCGCTTTCCCTCGTTCGCACTTGAGCATCTTCTAAATCCATGGATGATTTCCAATTCATCACACTCATGGGATCTGGTTCCATAAAGAAACATGGGCAATTCCAGCAAAGTCCAAGTCCCCCGAGGCAATACGCCTGCCAGAAGTGAGGGAACTGAGGGCACTTCAAGCTCTGATTTGTATACAATTCCCCAGCAAGTCACAACAGCCCACCCTCGCCGAGTCAACAAACCCACTGGCAGCGGTTCTGTACACAAGGTGCCAAAGAAAAGAGTCATCGAGGACACTTCTCTACACCAGCCACGAGCTGCGGTACCTGTCATCGATCTGACGGGAGATACGTCATCTCCACAAAAGAAGGTAAAAAAGCGAGCAACGAATATCGAAGCGAGCGTTTCTCCGATTGCTAGCCCCCCGGAGCGTCGTCTACGGAGATGGCGCGCCCACCCACCTGTTTCGTACCTCGAACGTTTGGACCGGATCCAGCAAACGAGGTGTGTGCACCACTGACAATCCGTTGCATGCCTTCCTGTTTGCTGTTTGCTGTTTTCTCCTCGTTTGCTAACATTAGGGCTTGTTCAGGATGTTCATTGTCGGTTACGAGATAGGTGGGACCGAGGAAGTCCCAGAGATATCCTTCGACGTTGTTGGGTCAACGGGGAATCTTTACAAGACGACCATCAAACAGGATCCCTACTGCGACTGCCCTGACGGGGCGAAGGGTAATCAGTGCAAGCACATCTGCTACGGTGAGTAAATTCATCCGCACTTTCGCATTCAACAGCTCCAATTCAATCAATCACTATCATTATGTCGAACCCTCCTCCTTTGCTTGATCTCTTACTCTATTCTTTTACTGATGGCATCTGAAGTCCTCGTTCACGCACTCAAAGCACCTGCACATCTCCAGTACCAACTCGCCTTCCTCTCATTGGTACGCAGCAATGAGCACTGCCAATCCAGCATGACCCATACCCGACGCTCTCGAACCCAGCTTACTCTTTAACGCAGGAACTATGCGAGATTCTGAGAGGCTCCTCTCTAAGCTTAACACGCCCCGCCCCCTCAGCTGAAGAAAATAACGGAAATCGCAAACCAGTTGACGGAGATTGCCCGATTTGCTTCCAAGAGATGATTGAAGCTACAGAGAAGATCGTTTGGTGCAAAGCGGCATGCGGTAATAACTTACACAGACAGTGTTTCGACCAGTGGGCCGCTGCGTCCCGGACGTCTTCCAGTGCTGGTATTCGCTGTGTGTACTGGTAAGTTCTCTTATACTTTCTTTCTTTCTTCACCAACATCTTTTTTTTTTTTTTTTTTGTTGGAAAGAAGAAAAATATCCCATCCCACCCACCCCTCCACTGTCCATTCTATCAGCGTAGCTAACCATGACGAATCAACCAGTCGCTCGCCCTGGAAGAGCGATGCAGCCGACGTAAACATACCGTCCATTCGCAAGAACAGCGCCAATGTCGGACCGGAAGGCTACGTCAATATGGCATCCGAATTCGGTCTGAGTACTGAACGTGGTACGGGTCCTTCCCTGTAGCTAACCCCCCTGCCCCCCTTGCCTCCTCTGGCCTGGGATATTTAGAACTTGGTTCTACTGGTTGCGCGCTCATCATGGCTAACTCCAATTGTTTCCACCTAGATTGGTCCGTCTACTCGCGTTTCTCAACTGCCCGGCCATCTTCATCCTCTTGGTACCGTAACCGTTGGTCGTAAGGAGACATTATATCAGAATGAGCGGCTGTGGGCTGTTCGACTGGGATCAATTTTGCTTTAACCTCTCAGCTACAATCAATGGGTAATGAGACGGGACGGGACGGGGCGAGGCGAGGCGAGGTCTTGTGGTTTATTATCAATTTTCACAACCATGCACTGAGCATTAGAGTTGCAAGGGTTGTTTTTCTACTCTCCTGATAGAGTTCATTTTTCTTTCTAATTTCGATGTCGAGATATCCAATAGCGAGCATATTTTATTCTTATCACTAGCCTTTTCCTCCTTTATCTACTAGAGACTAGAAAGGACACTTCAGCGTTGGAATGAAAGGCCAATTAAATGACTGATATGAATTATTTCGAAGAAACTAATCAAATGGGTATCACGATTCCAGAACCCAACCCCGAACACCAGATGAAACAACAGACAACATCAATAATGACTATCCCCGGTCGACATGGAGACGCGTCCCTCCACGAACAAAAGCCGTACTAACAGCATCTTCACCAGTCATCCATGAAGGCATACGCTCAGGATCAACCACACCTAGTTCCGCCAATTTTCGAATCCCACCAATAACATCCGACCCTGTGAAAGTGAGCGATACGGCCGGGGCCAGATTCGCAGCGTTCCGATCGGTATTGGCATTTGCATCTTCCTCCGCACCCGGTGTATCCAGAAGTCGAATGTCAAGCCTATCTAACGGCGCAGGCGTCACCGAGCACCCCACAGTCCCGAAACGAGATTCCACAGCCAACCGCCTCTTCTTGGAATCCGGCGAAAGAGCCCCGTCCGGCATTGCCGCAGTGCCGGAACCAGACGGGCGTTTTTTGTTGGCTGGACGCGCTGACTTCGACGCATTATCGTGATCGTGCGTATGGTTTTCTTTATCGTCGTGCATGGAAGATATGGACTCACGTCCGCGCATATGCTCTTCGGCTAGGACTGTATTCGACGGGCGCGGGTCCAATGGACTTCCCTCCAGCGCCGCGTCGGCAAAAATACTAAACGCGCCATTCGACGAAGTGGAGCGGCCGGGTCCGCGGAGTGTGAGGAGAGTTTGGAGATTCTTTGCGGCGAGGGCTGTGGGTTTGAGGGTGAATCTTTGGTGCGGGCGGGAGAGTGCTTTTGGGATTGCCTCGCGGACTAGACGTTGGAGTGTGCGGGGGTCTGTTGCCAGTGATCCCGAGCGTGAGTTGCTATCGGAAGCGTTGGAGGTTGTTATTGATGATGTGTAGAAGTAAGGGCAGCTGTCTGGGAAAGCGATGTAGATGATACGAGTTGCGTCTGTGAAGATTTCGGGTTGGTGGCGGGGGGTTTGGTAGGGAGAGTCGATGATGAAGATTCGAAGGAATGTGAGGGGGAGTGTCGAGGAGCGTGAGAGGTGGTAGTGTGCTTTAACGAGGGGGGCGATTTCGGCGTGGAGCGATTTCACGAAGCTCGCGGCTTGGATGCGGGGGATGTTCGCGGACCAGTCTTCTGATGCGATAGCAATCGCATCACGGATGCTTTTCGATTTTGACGTCGCGTCGTCGTTGAGTCGAACTAGTTCCATCGCTGTCCAGCGGAGACTTGCTGGGCGGTCGTCCATGTAGCGCAGGTCGGCCATGGCAAGTTGTCGGAGGGTGATGCCGTGTCGCCAGTCACCTTCGAGGATTCGTTCGATTATCTCTTGCTTTCCGCCCTTTCGGTCACGGAGGTCGATGTATGCTTCTCGGACCTCTGCGAGGGTTTCGGCGGCGGGGTATGGGAGGGTTTCTTCATTGTCATGGTTGTTTGTGTCTGAGGGTTGGAGGTATGGGGGGAAGGATTCCACGTTGCGATCTTCGAGCCATGAAATAGCGAGGTCTAGTAAGGCTGGCCGGGAGAGCTTGCCCAGGGTCTTTGAGAGGGAGGGCGTTGTTGAGGGAATGCGCAAGCTGTTTGGAAGGCTGGCGGTTGTCGGTGCGCGAACCGTCCTTGAGCGCGCCATGGCTGGTCAAGGAATTGATGGTGTGTGGATGATGGGATCGTGGCAGTTCAAGCCAACGGCACCAGTTGAGCAGCACCTGGTCTATTGCATGGTTGTTGTTGGTTGTGAATGTGCAGCCGTTGCTAACGACGGGGGATGTGGTGGATGTGATGGATGTCAACAATCAAATGTCACGTGATGATAACAGGCTATCATCACGTGCGTACTATGAGATGTACCTCACGTGATTTCTCGATCCGGCGGTACAGAAGAAGTCTCGTTGCAATGAGTGCAATGAGTGCAATGAATGGAATGAATGGAATAAATTCCGTGTCAAGAATGGGATGATGGAGGTCATTGTTACCTTATGTTGGGGACGTCCCACATGGAAACGGCAAGTAGCAATGGGTGTACCCCTTACAATGGAGGCTACAGTACGAGTAAGAGGCCAAGGCCAGTCCAGGTGTCATCATGATGTACGCTGTACGGAGTCGTTTAGGCTATAATCAGGATCCCAGATCCCTGCCAATACTAGTAAGCTTTGACCACGACGAGAACAGTCAGTGGAGTATATAGTATAGTATACTACATAATACTCGCATAGTAGTATACTGTATTTGGTGATTATGACTGCGTTATACGTACCTAGGCAGGTATTTTTATTGTCGCTTTCAATACTTCCCAAGTGGCCCTGGTATACTCCGTACTAGTCTTAGGAGAAGTCGGGAGAAGCAGGAAGCAGCGCACTGAACTGCAACCATGGAAATGGAAATGGAATCTCACGCCGGTCGCGGGCTTACAAATCCAACACGAACAGGTTTCCCGCGGTATCCGCGGGATTATTGATTATTGACTATTGATTATTTAGTGTTTAGTGTTTAGTATTTCTTATTGCTGCATCTGCAGGAGACGGTATTTGAGTGATCACGAATAGAGTAGCTGCATATTTATGAATAGTACGGAGTAAGTCCATTCACTCTGTACACTGTAAGCGAGTGTACGAGTACTCTAGAGTGACCCCATTCGGAGTGGGTTCCAGTTCCTTTGGTTCCGTGGATTCGCCCCAGTGGGCTCCGATCATCGGCCTTGATAAGGGCAGTGTACATAGTATACTATCCACTGTGCACTGTGCACTGGAGCATATGAGTATACAGTATACAGTATGAGTGACTGGAATATGATAGAGTATATATTTGTATTTAATCTGATCTGATCATACTCACTTATAGTATACTATACTAGTAGTATATACTCTGTAGTATATCAGTACTCTGTACTGTACACTGAATCCGATTACTCATCCCCCACCGAAACTCAAAGGAAAAACCCACTTGGCCCCGCCCACTCCCACTCCCACACCCACTCCCACTCTCGCCCTCGTCGCCTTCGCCCTCCTCACCCTCGCCATTCTCGCCTCCTACACCTCTCTACCCATCATCCCTGGTTCCTTCATCGTCAAGGAATCACCGCGCAACATTATCCACCGATCCCCCGCCCTCATCGCCTGGGTTGCCGAACATTTCATAGACCGGAGCCGCATCCGGCGCGCCCGAGTCCACGCCTCTTGGATCCATCGCGATCGCGATTCCCTCATTGTTCCTGCAGAACAATAGCCCTCCATATCGCCCACCTCTCCCATCTTGACAACCGTCATCATGGCCGCTTACAACGGGCGCCGTGCCCCCAACTTCTCTCAATATCTCGATGACCTCAACGCCATCCCGTCGCCGTACGACCAGGCCCTGCAACAGCAGCAGCAACAGACCACCCTCAACCTCGATGAGGAACTGGCTCTGTTCACCAACACCGAGTTCTTCGATTTCGACAAGTTCACCGACCTGAGCCTGCCTCACTTCGACTCCGTGGATGACAAGTCTCTGGCGGCCGCCGACCAGTCTCAAAATGCCGACATGAAGTTTTTGGACTTTCTTCAAGGTGAGTTTGCTCTTGATATTTGATTGTTTATTGCATTCTATTGGTCGCATCAATCGATATGGAGGAATGAAAGAGTCGACCGCACTTCTCTCCGACAATACCACACCACTACCACACCACAACCACACCACAACCGTGACATACCACCTTGAAACCCGCCGTGATACCCCTCTGCCCTACCGTCACGGACGTCTTCATGGAACCATACCTGCATGATCCTTGCAATGATCGTCGATTCGTTGATTGGCTGGGTCATATGCTCGAGTTTGCTCGCTGCATGGCTAGGGCATGGGGCTGATGTCGTCTTTTCGACGCACAATTATGCCTCTTCCCTTGGCCACAGCACTTTCGTCGATCAATTGGCCCTTGGTGATAAAGAGTTTTCGGGGCCCTGCAGGGCATCCACGCGGTGGCGCTTGGAACTCTGTTTATTGGGGGCCCTCGAATTCTCACACACCAGTCAAGTCGCCGAGTGGGAAATTGGTTTGTCGCAAACGCGAACACACTCCGCTATTACGCCATTCCACGTGATCGCCTAACCCCCAATATGGCCAATACGGGTCATCGATCCCACGATGCGACCAATAGTGATGCTAAAATTTGCGGCGATGGCTTGCTAACGATGTTCTCGTGCAGATGGCCTCGGAAATATGCCCGAGTACCAGCCCGACTTCAGCTCGGTCAATGCTCAGCAAATCCCGGCGCAGAACCAGCCTTTCTCGGCGGTTCCCGCTGTGCCCGCGGCTAACCCGGCTCCTGTTCAGGCACCCCTGGTTGCCCCTCAGGCGGCTCCGACTCCGGCATCCGGCGCCGTGTCGCCCACCACCCCCGCCGCTGGGCCCAAGCGCAAGCACACCCAGAAGTCCACCCAGGCGAGTGCTGAGGAGGCCGCCCGCAACGTTGCTGAGGAGGACAAGCGTCGTCGCAACACTGCCGCCAGTGCTCGTTTCCGCGTGAAGAAGAAGATGCGCGAGGCTGCTCTGGAGAAGCAGCTCAAGGAGACCAACGACAAGAACGACATCCTCGAGGCTCGTGTCTCCCAGCTCGAGCTGGAGAACCACTGGCTGCGTGGCCTGATCATGGAAAAGAACGGCACCGAGGAGCGCGACGAGCAATCTGAGAAAGCCATCTCGGACATGTTCAAGAGCTTCCTGGCATCCCAGAACGCCGAGTCAAGTACCTCCGAGTCGAAGCACGGCGTTGGAACTTTCGCGTGAAGTACCGCCAAATCAAAATAATCAACCAAAGCAAAAAAATTGAGGGCAAACCCCAACAATCCCTCAGCCGAAAAAAAAATACCCCCCTTCCCCTGTTTCCCGTCATTGGCACTCGCACTGCTTCTTGTCTCCTCTGCCCTCCTGCTGCTATGTATGACGATGGGAAACAGGCCCTCGGTGGAACACGATTTTATACAGGGTTCTGGACTCGTCCGTCATAGTTTAGTTTCTTGTTCATATGTTTAAAGCGCCCCTTGGATATTCCTCTTATTTTTCCCCCCAGCAGCCCTCCTTACGTGATCTCAGATCGTATCTGCAGACTTGATGATGGCAGACGACCATGAGTGATGATATTACAGTGCAATTGTATCGAAATAGACAATCTTCTCCACCTTCGTTCGCAAAGATAAGTAGGGCCGTAGTTCTTGCCGAGGCGACTGTATAGAAACAATGGCCGCCCTTTGTTGAACTTATACCCTCTACATTCATCTATAGAATACAAATCAGACGACAGCTCGAGAACACGAGAAACTCAATGATCTATCCAAGGTTACCAGAGGTATTCGCCCCCACGGCGTCAACTCTAATCAGAGCCTCATGGTGTACCCTAATCCGTATAGGAGTGATTCGTGAGTACCAATATTGTTAGTACAAATTACGATGAAATCGTATCATGACGGCATGGCAGTGTTTAATGAATACCGTGCTATCTGAGCGACCATACTAGTATTCTCAATGGGTGTGACTGAAATAGTACTCGGACAGGGGGCCGCGGCCCCCAACGTCAAGTCCAAGTCCGAGCTCGGAATGGGGATTATTTCCGCCACAACCCAGGTGCAGAGCGACAGACACAATCCATTGGTTCAAATCCGATCAGAAAAATGAAATGGCCTGATCCACTCAAGCGAAGTCATGTCTTTTTTAGCGGATTCACCGCTGTATGCCTCGATATCAAAGTGCACACTCGTATGTACAAGTATCATCATCTCCACAATTAACGAGCTGGTGCATTTGGGGGCCAAATGCTAATGCACTCCTGCCGTGTCATACCGGCATTCTTCAAAGAATTCCATCGTTTCATTTTCTCAATTCTTCAAATGTTTCGCACTATCCTTTCTCATTCTCTCCCAGCCTTTGCAAGACTTCCTCTTCCCTCCACGCTTCACCATCGCCTCACACCCCACCCCGTCCCCTGACGAGGTCGGAATCGACAATTAAGTTGAATGCGCTGAATATCGGGAATGGGCAATTACGGCGTCGGTCAGCTATGGGAACACACCAAATCAATATTCGCGAGAAAACACTATCAGGGGGGTCTCGCATATTGGTCAAGATCAAAATGGTGACCAAGTGGAGCTTGTCGGCGTCCCCAGTCTTCGATCTCAACCCTCCGCATTCTCGCTCTCCTCCTCCTTAACCTCCTTCTCCGACTTCGCCCGTCAATCAACCTTCGCCAGCAAATCTTCCCTCAAGAAGCGACCCCCCGACGAGGATGTCACCTTCCTAGAAATAGACAGCGGTGCTGCCGGAGACGAACAATCCTCACACCGCAAAGGAAATCAAGAACCAGAAGATGTGGAGAACTCTTCCTCCTCCTCCACCAGCCCCATAAGACAGAAAGCCCAATGGATAGATGGAGTCTACATGTGCGCCAAGGCTGGAACCATAGTATTCCTCCTAAACCTGATATTCATCGCCGTCGCAGCGGGACTAGCGAGCCGATTCCCAGATAATCCCGCGTTTGCGAGCTCCGCGGTGATTTACCGGGGTAGTTGCGGGGTGTGTAAGAGGTGGGACACAGCGTTGCATTTAATTATCAACGTTCTGAGTACGTGTATCCTTGCCGCGAGCAATTATTGTATGCAGACTCTTGTTGCTCCCACGAGGGAGGAGGTTGATGCTCATCATGCGGAGTGGAAATGGCTTGATATTGGCAGTGCGAGCGTCAATAATCTTTTCGCTATTGAGAAGTCGAGATTGGGCCTTTGGCTTGTTTTGTTGTTTACTGCTACGCCATTTCATTTGATGTGAGTTTCTCTTCTCTTCTCCTATTCTACTTTGGGGGCACCGTTCTCCAACCTCCCTCGTGCTCGCACCTCACCCCCTTACTTTATGCAGAGAGACTAATATCTTATCAATCTGGTTAGGTATAACTCGATGGTTTTTGAATCCTTATCAACGAATCAGTTTGGCGTCGTTGTCGGTCCTAAGGATCTGAACTCGTCAAATGTGCACGACTTGACGACTCCAGCGTTGGAGAGGTGTTTCTCCTCTCCTGCGCGCGGCGGTATATACTATTATACAGATCCTAATCTCGATGATCTTACTATCAAATCCTCTACTTTCACGTCCCAAATGCGCTGGCCCGCATTCGTCGAGGAAATTGCAAACGAGAACTACGACCGCATCTCTGCGTCGGAGTGTTCGGCCAAGGTCAAGACAACCGCGACCGGAATCCGAGGAATCGTCGCGCTTGCATCAAATCTTACCGTCAGCTTGGGAGGCGATTCCGCTATACTGATGACTCGTGTCGATAACACCGACATCCAGACATCGTCTACTTACTTCTACGGCGGTAATTTGGAAGCAAACCTTTATGCCAACCAAACTGTCTACAAAGGCTCGAACGCCACCTGTCTGTCTTACAACGCTGTCAATTCGGATTTCTTCGACGAAACAACTGGGGAGGTGATGCGCAATCGTTTTGGCACCACCGTAATGCCTATTGAGGAGTGTCTCGTTATCCGGACCGAGGAACATTGCCAATTACTCTATAGTCCGCCTATCTGCCTGACCATTATGCTTGCCGCATTTGCGAAGATCGCGGCTATGTTTCTAGCAGCACATATTGGTCGCTCACGTTCGCCGCCTCTGCTTACTGTTGGTGATGCCGTGGCTTCATTCATGGAAAAGCCAGATCCTACGACTAAGGGTCTTTGTTGGATTGCAGGAGCCGATGTGAGAAAGGGTAGCTGGGCCAAGGTTACTAAGGCTGGTTTCCAGGCCGTTCTGCAGAATGAACAGAGCGATCCTATCACTTATAGGCGTCTGAAAAAGAGGAACTTCTGGGGTAGAGCGGCTAGTGGGTGGCGATGGCTTGCCACTCTTTTCATGTAAGACCTTTGATTTCTCCCCTCATTCCCCTCTAGGTTGCTTATCTTCGTTCAAATACTCACAATCTATATATAGGTGCTTTGTCTGCATTATTGTCGGAAGTTTCCTTTTTAGCATCTCCCTTAGTGCTGGCATGTACGGTGGCACATCGTGGATAAGTGCCAACACATTCAAGAACTGGTTCAGCTCAGACGTCGACATGTCTGATGAGAACATAATCGGTGGTAACTCTATGGGCTTGACCATGCTAGCCTCCGTGGTCATTGCCAACACACCGCAGCTGGCAATCACCATTAGCTACTACTGCTACAACGCCGTACTAACCAGCATGCTAGCCGCGGCCGAATACAGCTCGTACGGTGCCAGTTCCAAGGCACTGCGTGTCACTTGGCCCGTTAGGGGCAGCCAGCAACGCTCAACTTACTGGCTCAGCATCCCATATAAATACGGTGTGCCAATTCTGGTGCTCTACATGATCCTGCACTGGCTCGTCTCGCAGAGCATTTTCTACCTCCTTTTGATCACATACGATCCGGCGAATGAACCTGTCCCAGGAAATGAAATCAGCTCTCTCGGCTATTCCTCCAGCCCGATCTTCCTGTCCATCATTGTTGGTTCAATTATGGTGCTTGTCCTTATTGTTCTAGCGTTCCGGAAATTCAAATCCACCGTACCCGTCACTGGGTCCACTAGTGTTGCCATCAGCGCGGCTTGCCACCTCCCCAGGGACGAGGTTGGAGAAACGGCTGTCTTAGGTTTGGTAAAATGGGGAGAAACTACGATGTCACCCGCCTGGGCGATGGAGAGTTTTGGGGGTATAGATGATGGGCAAAAGGGTCATTGTAGCTTTACTTCGTTGGAAACGAAGAACCCTACTTTGATGAAGCTGTACGCTTAAGGACGATGTATAGATATTCGAGATTTAATATAGAGATAAATGTTGAATAATTGACACTTACTAGTATAATTCGCAAGTTCCAGCGCTCTCCGTACCCCATATCCATTCCAACTGGCATTCATGTATTCACTGCTTCGCTATTCGACCCTATTCTTTAACACATGTTCTTCATCAACCCCCCCACCTCACCTCGGTATCCGGTTTAGTGGGACCTGTCACTCCTTTGAGCGTTGACCCTTGTAGGAAAATAGAACGCCAATCACGGCCGTGCGCTGGGCCCTGTCTCGGTAGGAACAAATGCACCCTGCAAACCCCTTTCATCAAAAGGCCCCCGCAATCGTACCTCCCGCCACTAACCTCTTGGAGAAGTACATCTTGACTCGGACTCGCAATTCCCCGAGCCGATCGTGCAGGAACCGAGCTTCTCCGACAATCCTTTTCCTGGTCTGTACAATGCAGGTCAAGAGATGGCGTTCTCGGACGATGTTAACCGAACGCTTGGTTCTCTGAAATATCAACCACGCTGGCTAAATTTTGTCAATACCGGCGCCTTTTGACCGTTTTAACGATGGCCTTTTTCAGAGATGATTTGCATGATGCTCTTTTGATCTTCGCTCTTGGAGGTCCCCGCGATGGGTCGTCTTTGTGGCTTGCGCTGTTTCTTTTCAGCTTGACCCACCGAACTCAGTGAAGGCGGAGGCCCATACAGTCGTCTTGAAATATCCCTGCATTTCTCCTGAGTTGGACTGAGGGATTTAACTCAATTTAATCTTCCTTTTTTTGGTCTTCATTTTTCATTTTTTTTTCTTTTAAGTTCTCTGTCCTGTCTGTCCTCTGTTGCATACGAGGGAAATGGTGGTTTTAAGGAATGTTTTGCTCACGCTGGGCGTTGCGTCGACTGCCATTGCCGGTAACAGCAATGGGGAAAAGCTGAAGACTTGTCTCAAGTATGCATTGACTGACAGCGGTCGTGTTGCATTCGCTGGAGACCCTTTATATCAAGTCGCTGATGTGAAGCGCTACAATCTGAATATTCCTGTGACCCCAGCTGCTGTTACATTCCCTACCTCTTCGCATCAGGTCGCTGCGATTGTCAAGTGTGCAGCAGATAATAGATACCATGTTCAGGCTAAGAGTGGTGGTCACAGTTATGCCAATTATTGTACAGGGTCGCTACATCCTCTCTCTTCAAATAGACCGCTAATGTGTATCGCTTCTAGGTCTCGGCGGAACGGACGGTGCCGTTGTCGTCGACCTCAAGAACCTGCAACAATTCTCAATGGACAACACGAACTGGCATGCAACGATAGGAGGTGGAACACTACTCGGAGATGTAACACAGCGTCTGCACGATGCTGGAGGACGGGCAATGTCCCACGGGACTTGTCCGCAAGTCGGCTCTGGTGGACACTTCACGATCGGAGGTCTCAGGACCAACATCTCGACAGTTCGGGGCCGCTCTTGACCACATCGTGGGAGCAGAAGTGGTACTCGCCAATTCAAGTATTGTGCACGCATCAGAAAGCGAGAACCAAGACGTGTTCTGGGCAATTAAGGGCGCGGCGTCTGGCTTTGGTATTGTTACAGAGTTCACCGTTCGCACTGAGCCTGAGCCCGGCACTGCCGTTAAATACGAATACACACTCAAGATAGGAAGTACGCAAGAGCGAGCTAGTCTGTTCAAACAGTGGCAGGCATATATTTCCGACCCGCAGCTTACGCGCAAACTGGCATCTACGCTCACCTTGTTGGAGGACACACTTATTATCACGGGAACATTTTTCGGCACGGAAGAAGAGTACGAGGCTCTTGATATCGGAGGTCAGTTCCCAGGCGCCAATGGCACAGCAATTGTTTTCCAGGACTGGCTCGGTCTGGTAGGCGACTGGGCCGAAGAAGCCGCGTTAGAGCTGGGAGGAGGAGTCGCATCCAATTTCTATTCCAAGTCTACAGCCTGGACACCGAAGAATATCATGAGCAATGAGACTATCGACAGCCTCTTCGATTATATTGATACCGCGGACAAGGGGACACTGATCTGGTTCCTGCTCTTCGACTTCCAGGGCGGGTATACGAATGATATCCCGACTGACGCGACTGCATATGCCCATCGTGACGTCTTGCTCTGGTTGCAGTCTTACTCGATTAATCTTTTGGGCTCGGTTTCTCAGACTCAAATTGATTTCTTGGATCAGGTTAACAAGCTGATTACACCCGATGATCATCCCTATGCTGCGTACCCGGGTTATGTTGATCCTCTCATGTCTAATGGAGCAGAGGCGTACTGGGGCTCTAATTTGGCTCGTCTGCAGAGGATTAAAGGGGATATTGACCCGGATAATGTGTTCCGAAATCCCCAGAGCCCGATGCCTGCTTTGCGGTAGGGCGAGAGGCGGGTGGCTAACTACTATTGTGCACGGCCTTGAGAATGCCTTGTAGAGACTTTTTGCTACATCCTTCTTCGGCCTCTTTGTTCAAGTCATCAGCAACGATTATGGTGATCCACCTCAGCTTGGGATTGTCGGGCTCATTAGATCCCCAGGGAGACTTAAGAAATGACACATGTCTGCTGGAACGAGTAGCAAACCGTCTTGAATACCAGTCCATTTCTTTTTTCTTTTCTTAACAAAAGAGATGCGACGGTTGCTACCTGGTGTCATTGCGTGGCGCCAAGCGTATATTTTATCATATTTATCAGTTTAGTGGCAATTTCCTGTGAATGAATTGCTATGGTTTTTCCAAGGTACTATCTGTTGAATTCTGTATTTATGGAAATTTCCAGCAGGCCCCTAGGTGTATTAATAGCTCATTTATGAACCTTAAAACCTTCTCCTTTTATGTCACCACTACTATCTTCTATATCTGCTGAGCTCTATAATTATTAGCTACTCTCTTCTAAGAGGCTGCCCAAGTGTTACTTTCACTTTTTTTCTAGTATTCTTGCCCGCAGGTGTCTACCTTGGAAGTCTATATTTCTAAAAGTTAAAAGTGTAATCTAACGCAAAGTCTATTGTATTTTACTCATTTTAATACTGGATTAACATCTCCGCCTATCCTTTCTTTTCCTCTTCAATTGAACTCCTTTACCATACCTCTTCTCATACTCCTTCTTACTCATCTCCAAATACATTCTTGAAAATAGCTGATGTTTTTGCAAACTCAGCACGTGTCGCTCTGCAATCAGGAGCGTCGACCTCCTCCAAGCCCGGAGCTACCCTCCAAATAGAAGTGACTGCCTAGTATGTCTTAGGTATACATCAGTTATTTTCTGGTTAAACAGTACTTCACAACAATTTATTTGATGGACCAACCCCCTATACGTAATTATTCCCTTCCTTCCTTTTATACGCTGGCATACAACATTCACTAAGGTTGAAAATTTGATGTCTCAGGCATAAAGGCTACCATGCCTTCCGTATGTCTAGATAGCTTCCCTCTCCCTCATCAGGTCGTCTCGCTCCTCTGATTGCCACCATTTCAGAGATTCTCGCAGTGGAAGTCAATTTCTGCTCTACTAGTACCTCCATTGACAACGTTTTACCCATTCACAAGAGCAAACCACAACGCAAAAGATGGCTGCCCACAACGCCGATTACGCTCGCAGTGCGTCGAACCAGAACGACCATCCGGACGAGAAACATTATTCCAAAGAATCTTTTGTGAAAGACATTGAAGAGTGGATTGACAAATTAAATGTAAAGGCTCAAGTGATCCCAATTACCTTTCCAGATGCTGCTATTGAGGAATAGGGCTTCCAAATGCCCGAAACCTGATACACTATACACCAACTGACTGATTTTGCTTATCGACAGGAAGAGAACGGATTCCACATCGTGAACACCTGGAGCGCAGTCCTCTATTACGGTGTGGTTGCGAACGACTGTTTCGTTCCCTACTAAGGGGTCATCTACTACTGTGCTGTCCCTTACTATGGTGTGGTTCCCTTTAACAGCGCAATCCCCTACCAATGTTATTCTCTACTAGTTACTGCGAGGCCCCCTACGCCATCAATAACCCATTCCACACTGTATACCGAGTAACATGTCTATTACGTTGGCTACTCGGTCTGATGGCATCTGCCCCGGAACCTATCCTTCCTGCTTTCTTCTTCGTTTTCTTCTTTTTTTCCCTTCTTCTTCTTCCTTCTTATTCTACCGTGTTGTTTGCATCCGTTGAATTATACTACATGTTACCTGATATCGTATTCTGATCTTCGTCCTTTTTGTGCGTCTCGCGCTACAGCGAGAACCTCTACATCAATAACTTTCACGCTGGAAAGGCCTATACCTACAGTGAATAGGCGAATAGCCACTACGCCGAGATTTAATACAACTGGAGACAAATCACTGTAGAGGCAGATTGCAAGATAGGCGGCTTCGAGATTAATACCAATTAAAACCGACTTTAATGAACAAGAGGTGCTACTATTGTATCATTGATGGCTAGACGGACGACATTCACTTAGGCTTCCAAATATAGTACCTAGCTTCCTCCTTTTCTTGTTCTTCTTCTTCTTCCCCTTCTCAAGCTATTACTTTCGTGGAATCGCTAATACTACTTTGACTAATCCGTTTCATCGTATTTCTTTCTCTGGTCGTATCTAAGAGTCCTCACATTGAGACTATGAGATATACAGTTAATTAATCTATATCCATTCTGGGGTGGGCGCTGCCTATTGATCCAGTTTTTAATCTGCTCCACCATGAGCTGAATAGTCTAATACCTGGTATAAAATTAGGTAGCCTCATTCCGGATTTTCAATTTAAGTACACTGCCCTAAGAGAATATTTGGGACCTTTTTCATGATTTCCTAAAATATCAGCTGGTTGAGAATCTAACTCACCTATCGAAATATCGTCACTCACCGAGCGTGTATCCTTGATTCTCATTTCCAAGAAGCATTTCACATCCATGTAGTCCTTAGTCATGTAATCAAGTAGCTTATTTCTCCCTTTATTGGAGTCTATGCAGCTGACAGCCTTCACCAATTCTTCTCTCACCATTCCCCACCCCCCGCATCTTTCAAGATCAAGTGCTTGTAGCATATTTCCAATGTGACACTGAATGACAGTGTGATGGGTCTGTTGCCAGATGAACTCAAGATCATCCGTTAAAATGCGCCCATTTGGGTGCATCCAATTCACATCAAAGCCTTGGTCGTGCAATGTTGATCTGTGCATCAATATCCCGCCGAAGTCCCGATAAACAAACCCTTTCGCCGACCTCGTTCGGTTGCAAACACGTACCATGAAATTCTGAAGGTGACCCTCCAAGGAGATACCGTATTTGCAAAGTATAGGGAACACAGCCTTGAATAGCCTTTCCGTATATCTGAGCTATGGTTAGTGAGAGCCTTCAGATGCACGGATCACATACTCTCGCATCTATTTCCACTTTTTTTCAATAGTATCTAGCTCGAATAGCGCTTCTAGGCGACTTTTTGAATTTCCGGGAAGACTCTCAATAAGCGACCCTATAATGATCATGGATTCGTCGTTTTGTCTTGCTCTTGGCTCAGGATCCTCTCTCATTATGCAAGCCAGATTTGATGCCTGTTCATATTGTCTTGAGCTCCGCACACAGCTGCAACTTCTCTGTACAGCCAGAAATCTGGCTTTAGTTTATCCAGGATCCGAGTAGCTTCGGTTGTTTGAAATACATCCCATGGTGTGATTGTTCTCAAGGCACCTGTTATCTGACAGGCAAGCGACATTTTGAAAAGATAGGGCGACGAGATGTGTGGCTTTAAGCGGATAGATCTAATACTCGCTTCCGCATCGGCACAATCCTCCATGATTTTGAGGACTTTTGCCTCCGGGAAAGACTTGTATATGAGAGGAAGTTGGCGTGTGAAGCATGGCACGACAATGCGACTGGATTCATTCGACAATGGAACCTGAAGATTTTCCAGTATAGGTTTGAGAGCTTTCCCAAAGGGTCCTTTCTGGATGACATCATTCTGGGGGATAGATATAAAGGCGATGCTTGGTGTCAAAATCGTGGACAGCTCGTCTGGCTCGACTTCGCAAATCGGTGGCAATGCCCGGAAGCATCGATGCATCTTTGTATCACGGCAGAAAGTACCCTTGTCAGCTCTTGGTAGCTTCATTAATCGGTAACTTCAACCCACTGGATGGCTCGGATGCCCAAAGGTTATTGCCTGTTCCCACGCAATAGTACTTGATCCCAAACTGGGCTCGGGACCTGCCATATTTCTCTCGAGCCACTTTTCTGTAAAGCCAGATGACGGTTCGAAATTGAAGCTTCTTCGGATTGGAAAATGTTTTAAGCGCACTCACCTTGGAACATCGCCGCCGTCTCCAGCTCTGCCTCCACTCGTTGTAACCCTAGTCCGTTTGTTGAATTCATCAACCATGGCGAAATGAAATGAAATACCACCTTCGGGGCCAGCTCGAATATTTCTTGGTCATTTTCACATAGAAATATACTTGGCTCTAGACTCTGAGGTCTGATCAAAGACACAATCGATCCGTTTTCTAAAGCGATAGGGGTTTGAAGCCGGACGCAAACCTTCACCCGCCTTTTGGACGCAGGCCCATCGTAACCCGGTAGGCAAGTAATGCATATGTAACGCGCTGTGGCGCTAGATTTGGTGTCCAAACTTGCTGTGGCTAAGCGTTCATTAACCAGTTGGCTCACAAGCCGCTTGGTAGTTTGGAACTGCGCCTGTTGGCGGATTGAAGTAACTTTCATATTCCTAGGTCACCTTGATATCACAATTGTATTGGGGGGGCTGAAGATTATCAGGAAATACATTCAGAAGGTCTGTTAGAGCTCTTATGACATTTGTCTCTATTTGGGGGTAGCCTTATGTGCGACATGAAATTTTCATTTTGGCTTCCCTCTGGGGCTCTTAAAAATCAATGTGACCCACTATAAAGCCTACTTGGTTGTTTTATCATAGTGGTTGTCACCGAGGCTCTAAGCCTCCGATAGCTCTGATGTAAATTTAGAAATGAACCGTGCTCAATGGATATCAGAAATTTGAACCACATCCAGCTTTTTCTTTCCTCCATAAATGTCACCTAAATTGATCATAACCTCTCGTTGGAAGCATTTAAATAGTGAGAGGCATTCATGTGAAGGCATGGGAAGTCTTTGCATAACAAAAGCAGTCGATTATCTGCGCTGGAAAGCTTAGGATTCAAAGGTATCACCAATAGTGATCTTAGCAGCCGACTCAATGATCCCCTGTCGATATTACAGAAGCTCCCTATGAAAAATGACATTGGCCTTGACATGGTGTACCCAGCTCTGTTTTCGAAAGTAGCCGAGACGTTCCAGATCCAGATCCAGAATCAAAGAATACGCTGCATAATGAATTATAGCAGCAGTATCCTAGGTGAAACGAGCTCGCGGGGTTTTACAAACTGTTGTGTATGTGGGATTACTATATAAGATCGATTGTCGCTTCCAAGTTTGCTAGGATGATCCAAGGTCGCACAGCCTCCCCTGCAACTGTGTCGCCGGACGATGTATGGTGTGATACAGGCGATTCTTATACCTAATGGGCGCGAATATGTGAGGTAACTCTGAGACCTTGGAATATGACTGAATATATATCTTGGGATCATGGCTATCTACGAGTTTTACATCCCCGGGGCCTAAGCTTCAAGGGAGGCAACATTCTATATCTGGATAGTATTTCATATTTGCCCGCCAGCGGCTTTCAATGGCATGGTGAGTTATCGGTAGAATTTCAATTTGTGTAACATATCAAGCCGACCTCGGGATTGTCATAGATACACCTTTTCACTCGGCGAGAATCGCTCTAATTCGTGGGTACTTCCCTAGCTTCAACTTCAGACTACGTGCCGAAGAATACGATGTAAATGAGTAACTACAACGCAGTTCTGTAGGAACTCTGCTAGGAATATCTATCACAGCTACCATATCTACATTTCTCTTTATCCGAAAGAGGGTAGGACCCGTTCGAGAGGGTCACACAATGAGCATACAGATCAACGATTCAACCTTACCATTTTGTTATCTGTTAACATGTGAATGGGGTTTTAACTTCTATTGTAGCCTCTTAAAGCCGAAGATTTTCTTGAAATTGACTTGATATCTGATCCTTGAACGGTTAGGAGCTTATTTCTCGCTGATGCCATCTCTTTCCTGCCTGGCGTCACCAATCATGGTCAGAGCATTAAGATTTCTGTTATTCCTTGGTAAGACTTAATCATAAGCTTTTGTACATTTTTCTTAATCTGACCGTCTGAGTGTAGGAATTATATTCTCTTCGTTTTGTCATGTTGAAGCAAAACCCGCGAAGCCCTCTCTGAGCCCATCTGCAAAACCTTCGAGGACAAGGCCCCCAAGCGCAACTATCACTGTCGTCAGTACGACAGCTGTAGCTACCAATGATCCAGAAATTCAATGCGCTTCCTTCTTTCCATGGAAACCTGTATGTTTTAAAACTCGTGCCTCCCACTTATGTATTAGAAAGTAATCTAAACACAACAGTGCCCCACTGGAGAGTCATGTTGCAACTTTTTTTGTGTTAACACAACTTCCAATGCTCTTAATTGTGGGAACTGTGGCGTGACAGTGCGTTACAGTCTCCCAATTAGTTCTAACCATTCAAGCTGATGTTCTGGTAGTGCGTTGGGCAAATCCCTGGTTGCTGCTCCGGGGCTTGCACCGATCTGGGAACAAGTCTTCAACATTGCGGCGCATGCAATGCAACGACCGTATGCCTTAATACTGCCTTGTGTCAATTTTGGGCTTTGTATATCGCATTATATTAATATCTATCTATAATACAGTGTTCAGGAACGAACCCCGCCTGCTGTTCCGGCCAGTGCGCAGATCTCGCTTCTTCGACCCTACATTGTGGAACTTGTCAGGCAAATCCAGTGAGAGATTCTTTTTTTTTCATAATCGCTACCATGTTTCCTTTGACTGACATTGTTTTAGTGTCTTGGACTTCAACCCGCATGTTGCTCGGGTGTTTGTGAAGATCTTGGCACAAGTCTTCAACACTGTGGCGCTTGTAATGCTGTTCCTGTAAGTCTTTTATTCTATATGTGATGGTTCACACCGCAGGTCATTATCTCCTCTTACTCCATAAAAGTGCTCTGGGGTCTTACCCGCATGCTGTAATGGTACCTGTGCCGATTTGACTGGATCTGTAAACAATTGTGGATTATGCGGCTTGAAGGTGAGCCTGCTTTTCACGACCAATGTGCCCGCATATTTCATTAAGAAGCTACTAGTGCTCGGGTGTCAATCCTGCCTGCTGCTCCGGCATATGTTCTGATCTGAACTCCGATATCCTTCATTGCGGAGCATGTAACGGGACTCCATGCATAGGCATTGTACCTGTTTGCTGTTCTGGAGAGTGCACTGATCTTGCTACCGATGCTAACCACTGCGGAAAATGCAATACCACGGTTAGACCCCTTTTTTTATTGTGATGGCCGATGATATACATTCCAACGTCCGTCCTTTCTAACCAGAACCATGTTCACAGTGTACCGGCACAGAGCCAGCATGCTGTCTGGGAGGTTGCGTTGACATTGCCAATGATCCTAATCATTGTGGAGCCTGCCTTGCTATTCCCTGTCTTGGGCTCAAGCCTGCATGCTGTTCTGGGCAATGTAGCGATCTATCTTCAGACAACCAGCACTGTGGAGCCTGCCTGACTAGTGTAAGTATGGAGCGACTTTTTTGATTTCTTCTTCCATTTCTCAGACACTCTACAAAAATACTGACAGATCTTTGGGTCAACAGTGTCCACCAACGGCGGCAACCTGCTGTTCTGGAAACTGCACAGATCTGACTACTAATATCAATCACTGCGGCGCATGCATTGCTTTACCTTGCCTGGGGCTACAGCCAGATTGTTGTAACGGAACCTGCACTGACTTGGCCGTAAGTACAACTCATTGCGGATCATGCACGGGACCACCCTGTGGTGGCTTCCTTCCTGCATGTTGCAATGGCACATGTGCCGATCTCGCCTCGAGTCCGATACATTGCGGAAACTGTGTCTCGCCTCCATGCACAGGTGGAAATCCAGCTTGCTGCACTGGTGTATGTACTGATCTCAGCACTGACATCCTCCACTGCGGCAACTGCACAGCCTTCCCTTGTCTGGGAGTCATACCTGCATGCTGCAATGGAACTTGCACCGATCTGGCTTCGGATAAGACACATTGCGGCTCTTGTTCTAAACCAACTTGCACTGGTGTCAATCCGGCCTGCTGTTTGGGAACATGCAGCGATTTAAGCTCTGACGTTAATCACTGCGGGTCATGCGTTGCCATCCCATGTCTGAGGAGTTAAGCCAGCATGTTGCAACGGAACCTGTATGGATTTAGCAACCAACGTCAATCGATGCGGCGCTTGCTCAGCTCCACCTTGCACCGGTGTTAATCCAGCATGCTGCAATGAAAACTGTACCGATCTAAGTGTTGATGTGAACCACTGTGGCTCTTGTCTCTCATTGCCTTGCCTCGGCTTGGTCCCTGCTTGTTGTAACGGAACATGTTATGACCTAAGTGCCAGTCTCACTCATTGTGGATCTTGCAATACGCCTACTTGCAACGGCACATTCCCTGCATGCTGCGGAGGCACATGCGTTGACTTGGCATCCAGTACTGCCAACTGTGGACAATGCTTCAAGTCGGTATGTCCAATGAAAATGAGCCCCTTATTATCCTGCAGACTTTACGATTCAAATTTGACTGACATTTCTCTTCAGTGTCCACCTGGCCCCGGAGGTGGTGGTTGCGTCAATGGTATCTGCGTGGCTTGCCCGTTAACTAGCCCCTTCTGTTCCTCGGCCGGAATATGCGTAAGTCGAATAGCTCTGTTAATTTTTGGTTTATTGACGCTAAGGGGCAAATCTGCAGTGTCCAAGCGGTACAAATTGTGTGACGGGCGGACCCCTGCCTGGGTGCTGTCTAAGTTCGAATCTCTGCCCGCCTGCATCGGCTCCGACTGGTCCTAACATATGCGTAAGCTACTTGTCAAATATTTTGCTTTACTCTACCTGCTTTAAACTGGCTAACCGAATACTCCTCCGAAACAGTGCCCATTACCCTGTGGCCTTCTCGGAACTAGCAAAGTCTGTATCGGCTTCTAGATATTCCCTGGATCTGGCCATGGGGGAAATTTGGGAAAGCTAGGACTCAAAAGTAATCATCGATATATTAGGTACCTGGGAATGAAGTACCATTATCATTTTCATCATGAATTTCACTTCTCATGCAATCGTAGGCGATCACAAGAAATTGTATGCCGAGAAACCGATTTACTTCTACTAGAATAACTTCACCTGGTGGTCTTGGTTTTACTTTTACTTTCACTTTATTTTATACTAGTATACTATATTCTTACTACTTCGTGTGGTGAAAGAAAGCTCACAGCAAATTTAGAAGGACAAATCAAAGCATCGACAGCAGGCAGATTCTAACAAGTACGAAATATACTACCAGTACTTTTGTGTTCATACGGACAGGGAGCCAGCTCTCATGTATTCACAAGTCTCTTCAACGGTCGATATCTAGGCTGAAATAGTAACCATCAAGATCTGTTAAATGTTACAGAAATTTCCGTTGTCATATTTATGCTCTCATCTCCTTTGCCTGGTGATTGGGTTTCCAGAACCGCCGTTTGGCTTCCCTTGTCGTGGATGGTTGCATGTCCGATATCCGTTTGTGTTTCTCCTTGCGCGTTATCGAAAACTTTTTGCTGGGATGAATCCGGCGGGTAGGATATCATATCATAATTTTGCCTTGCGGAGGATCCAGGGAAAACTCTAATCAATATAGGTTTAAGCGCAGGGATCGAGGCGGCGGTGATGGCCAGTCCATCTTCAATAGCGGCCCACCACAACAGTGGAGCGAGCTCCCCTTTCAAAAATATTCACATTAGCCAAGAAATGGTTGCTTAAACGAGTGGATCTCTTACATGTAAAATCAGACTTAGCAGACAGCGCCACTAGATAGGTGGTTTTCACTATCGAAGCAGCACCTGCACTGTGATGACTTAGCGCTGAACATCTCTTTTCCAGATGGAACTTACAATATGCCGAGGCTCATTGCAAAAGCCACGCCTAACTTTTCCTTTCTTTTCATCTGGAGGTTCCAAACAATAGTCCATGGAAGCAAAGCTAACACAAAGTCTTGGGCGCCGGAGTATGCTGTATCTCAGGGTTAGATCACCCATTTCAAAGAAATGGAAAAGGGGAGAGAGACGGATCACATACCGCCGACAAATAAAGAAAAGTTTGTGAATACATTGGATGGCCAGCACTCTGACGGAATAGCTGGATTCCAAAGATGACGTGGGTCTTTACATTGAACGAAGATGAACAATGCCGCGAGAATATTAACCAAGTTCATGGTCACGATCACGAACCACAGTAGAATAATCATCCACCTGTGGACCACAATCCGCAGCAGTGTCACGGCAAAGGATGTCTTTCCCAATGTGCAAGCCATAATCGCCAATGCCTCGCCAATGTCGCACAAGAGAGCCACATCAATGAGGTGCTCGGGCTTTTCAGAAACTATGGCAAAATGTCGTCCCAAGCCCAAGGTAGAGGCAACATGGCATACAGCCGCATAAGCAACTAAACAGCACTACCGGAATGGCAATCTGGTTAATCTTTGGGGGAAATGAAAATTGGGGAGGCAGATTTTACTCACAATAGCGATGATGATAATAAAATCATCCCAGCCGAAAACCCGTTTCAAACACACTCTCACATACAGTCTCATGCAAACAAAAGCCAGAGGGACAATGGCCATCACCCACATCACTCCCTGGACTGTCGAAGACCTGCTTTCGGCCAGGTATGATGCGGATACATCACTTGTCATTGTAAAAAAGACCTAGAATTCCTAAGAAGTCGGAAGTCTCAAGATGTACCCGTGAAAATCCACCCCCTTACCCCGTGGGCGAAAGAAGAGTTTTTGAGATTAATTCCTCCTTCTCTCCTGGCACTTCCCGACATAGACTAACTATTTTGAGCAGTATGACAGGCGCCATCTGTTGGTTCGGATATCTCAACCGGCTTATTTGGCGGGAAGTTCGATCTGTACCCATCGCGTTTCGCGCCTATCCTATCATCGAAGAATCTATCAAATCCATCAGCTTCGCTTACGAGTAAACAGATGTGGGCCCTGTCATCCCGAGGATGTGGGAACGTGCCCAACAATCGTCCCCGTCAGATAACTCGTTCTTTTTTCACCAAAACCCCACTCGACTCGTACATTTTATTGTCAATTTGCTACACTCTCTTGGAGTTTCCCAGATTGGCTGTTATATTCCAGAAAGTGATCCGACAAAGTCACAAAAGAAGGGAACCAGTAGCACACTCCGCGGGACGCTAGATCAGCGCCGCTGCTGTCAAATCTAAAAATACTAAGTTCTATGAACCTATCTGGGAAATATTCAGCTGGGGCTGGCCACTCACCACGAGGGGAGTAACAACTCCGCACTCCACATCCCGCTCTGCCCGTGTCGGAGAGCTACGAAGTTGACTAAAGATAGCTAGAGACTCATTAGTCGCGTTTCCAAAACACCGGAAACAGGGTAAATGGAGTTCGTTGTGCTTAGTCCTCCGCCATGACCCCCTGTTCATTTTTTTGCAGACAATTTCATTGGGCAATTGGTACGCCATTCTGCACCTTCGGCATCAAGCGACAGAGGCCCATCGTGGCCTATGAGAAGCTACCGAATTGGAAATCATGTCCCCGCACTTATAGTGTTCTTTAGTCTGCTTGCAACTTTCAGCTTGTGAAATTCTCGAATCCCCCTGAACACTCCACAGGTACGCTCAAGGAATTGTATTTACATCAGCTTTTGAAAATGGCGGTGCTGAGTTCACTTCGATGCGATTTGTGGGTCCAGGGACTTGCAGCGCTTGGCCTATTGGTCTTGACCAAGCTATTATGGGATATCTATCTCTCGCCGTTGAGAGCTGTACCCGGACCTTTACTCGCCAAAAGTACGAATCTGTGGCGAGCATTTCACACCTTTCGCGGCCGTGTAGACACCAAGCATGTTGAATTGCATCGCAAGTATGGCAATGCTGTGCGAATTGGTCCAAACTGTGTGAGCATTTCGGATCCGAATCTGATTCGAACGATTTACTCGACACGTAATCCATGGAAGAAGGTACTACGAAACAAATCACCATATTGTTAAGAATTTCCCTGGCGCATTTTCAATGGTTCTCTGCTAAACTTTTCTTGCGTAATAAAGAGTGATATGTACCGACCGAATGATGTCCTCATCGAAGGACACCGCATGTCTAACCTTTTCAATTCTCAAGATGAAGATTGGCACAATAAGAATATCCGCCCGATTCGTGGACTCTGGAGTATGACCAAGGTTTTGGAATACGAGCCTCTGATTGATGAAACTATAACCAAGTTTGTGGGAAAAGTCGCGATGAAATTCGTGGATGGTGACAGTGCGGGCACAGTCTTCCCAGCAGATGAATGGATCGGGTTCTGTGAGTGATAATGCAAAGTCCGAATGGAAAATAGTTCACTAATTGCGGAATTTAGTCGCCTGGGATGTCACTGCAAATTTCAGCTTCGGCCGCCACTATGGATTCATCGACCAAGAGAAAGATGTCGATAATTTGATCACAGACTCGACCGATGGTCTCACATACTTTGCTCCGGTAGGATTCACATCCCTGCAATGTGGTTAGCAACACTGCTAATTAGATTGCCATCCTTATAGGTGTCTCAAATCCCATGGATCGACAACCTTCTAGACAAGAACCCCATCAAACGGATCGGACCAAAGCCCACCCTGACCGGCGTTCTATACGCCTTCAAGGTCGTCGCCGAGTATCAAGCCCAACTTTCGAACAAGACGATCACTGCTGGTTCAGTTGACCACACGCTCGACAAATACCTGCAACTGAAGGAAACATACGCAGACATGGTTAATGACCACCAAATTGTGAACTGGTTGATGCTCAGCATCTTAGCTGGAGGAGATACGAGCTCCGCAACCATGCGCGCTATCCTATACTACCTAGCCAAGTCACCCTCTTCATCTGGAAAGCTCGCAGCTGAATTGCAAAACGCTTCTCTCCCCACGCCTGCCCCTTGGATGCTGATTCGGGATCTTCCCTACCTCGATGCTGTCATCCGCGAGGCAATGCGCGTCAACCCTGGTATCGCCATGATATTTGAGCGCGTTGTGCCAGACGAAGGATTTACTCTCCCAGATGGACAGTACCTCCCTGCGGGCACAAAGATTGGAATTAACCCCGCCGTGACAAACAAAGATTATGAGGTGTTTGGAGAGGACGCGGATGACTTCAACCCGGATCGTTGGTTCCAGGGCAAAGACGAGAGTGACGAGCATTTCGAGACCCGCTCAAGACGAATGAAAGACACCGTGGATTTTGTTTTCGGCGGGGGTGGTCGTATTTGCATGGGTCGCTATTTGGCTATGCTGGAGATCAAGAAATTGATTGCCACCCTCTATAACGTGTTTGACGTGAGTGAATCGAAAGCCGTCTCTCCGGGGCATCTTGATGTGATGCAATGATTAACGTGGTCGCTAGATTCAACTTGTGGACGTGAACCATGAGTGGACGTATCGTAATGCCTGGTTCGTATACCAGTATGATATGCCGATGGTCATCCGACGACGTGGTGTTGCCTCGCAATAATGGGAAATGGACAAATGACGATTTGGAAAACCGGTGATGCATTTGAAAAGGCAATTAGTAACAATAGCGTGACCTTGGTTGTTATGGATAGAGGGTACAATTTGTGATGTATGCACCCATTGAAGTAGGATGCAAAGAGGAATAAAATGAAAACCCCCCAATCTCGCCGCAAAAAGGTATCAAATCCCCACCCAAAAAAGAAGAAGTAAAGAGAGAAGAAGAAAGAGAAAAGAAAAGAAACGCCCAACACTGTCTAACGCCGCAAATCAACCCTCGAGAACCCCAATTTGCCAGTTTCCATGCGTCAAGTCATTAGTGATATCTTCGGTGCGAAGTAAGTCAATCCGGACTTTGCGTAAATTCGTTTGGTGGTCTTGGTCATCATCTCTTGCGACGCGAGATCAATAACCAACTCCTTGCTTGCTTCGAAGCCCAGTCGGCATTAGTTCATCTTCGGTTCTTCGTCAAAAACGTCCTCATGCCTCTCTTCAGGACAGACCGCAGTCTTGTCCTCTGCTCCTTCACCTCGCTCCCCTTATCCTCCTCATCGCCAGTAATCTCTCCCCATCCAGAGCTCCGACGACTAACGCGGCCAGATGCCATAGCAAGAGGGCTAGTAACGCCGGTAATGCTCGCAGCGGTACTATCATTCCGACCATGAGAAGGCGCACCACTGCGAATACTTGCTCCGTCCCCGGTGCCAGTGTTCTGCTTTCCTGTGTAGTGGCTGCCGCGTTCTCCGGCACCGCCCACCATGGGAGCTGTACCCGATGACGAGTAAACGCTGATACGCTCAGCGCTAGCCAATCCAACAACACTTGGACGGGTGAGAACACCCTGTGCATTGAAGGCCGATGTATTGGATGCTTCGACTACGTTACCACTGAGAACGCTCAACGGTAAGCTTTCGCGACTCCCCCGAAAACCGAGGATGGCGCCAATGCACGAACAGAAGCATTAGTGTCTAGGGAGTTACGACGACGTCGCTTGGACGAGCTCGCCAGAGTGAGAATCGAAGCATTATCCGTCAGGACATTGTTGGCTGTGGCGGTGTTGTAGGTCATTGGTTGGTTTTGGGGTACGAGGTGCGGCGGCACAGCAGTGGCAGGCCATGAAGAGCTCGGGAACTGGTGTGAGAATTGAATTTGTTGGTTTGTGGAGCCCTGAGTCGAATTGCCATGTGAGTGACCTTGTTGTGCGTTCGGCGCAGGGTATAGTTGGGTGGACGGCGCCGCCGATTGCACCGTTGTCAAGGTTGTAGTCAACGATCGAACTGAAGGCGCAGGTGACGAAAATGTGCTCCCTTCTCCTCCACCTTGGGTGCTGATCTCTCCGCCACCAGTTGCCAATGTGCCCGCCTTGGAGTATCCAGTGTCGGAGATCGCGGTGTCGCCATTGGTCGAAACAGTCGGGGCATTCGATTTCGCGCCACTTGTCGCATGAATTTGATTCTCGTAGGCGGAATAAACCAGCGACGGATCACTTCGCGAGCGTGAGCCTTGTCCATCGCGATCCCCAGCCTCGGAATACGAGTCATTGTTGTTTGGGCGGTTAATATTCCCGGACAGCGGGTACGGATTGTTGCCTTGACCGTTGCTCTTCTTGCCCTTGGTATTTGTGTGTCGTTTGTGGGACCAGCGATGGCTTCCTGAGTCGGAGGAGCTCTTGAGACTGGCGAGACGTTTCATCCAGCTCGAGAATGGGCGACGGCGACCATTGCGATCTATGTTGTATACCCAACGATTAGCCAAGCACACTGGGTAGGAGGGGTGGAGGGGGAAGGGAGAGACTCACCATGTGCGCGAGGAAGACCTTCAGCAGTAGCCATAGTGTCAAACAATTGAAAAAGCCAACTGTGAAGAGCTCAACTCTCACGTCCAGTCAAGTCATGAAGAAGTCAAGAAGTGAAGTAGTGAAGTTGTAAGGAAGAGAGGCGCACCGAGGCAAAGGGGCGGGATGACTGTTGTTCCGCGATCATGTGCTCTTGCCTATCATTGCCATCTTCACTTCACTTCACTTCTACTCTACTTCTCTTCTCTTCTCTCCTCTTGACAACTTGGGATTTGATTCAAATTGGCATTTCTCTAGCTGCATCCCGTTGATCACATCCCCCACTTCGCACATGGCACCCGGTTGAAGTCACAGCCACCATGCACTGGCGATATTCCCGCGATCTGTGGACTATATACGGACTATGCCTTGCTGAATAACTATACACCACCCTTGGACAAGGCTTCATCCTGCCACGGGCATGCCTTCATCCGGAGATATCAAACCGCTTCCCTCCGATGTGATTGCCAAAATCAAATCCTCCACCTCAATCATCCATCTCAATGGCGTGGTGGTCGAATTGGTGAAAAACGCCTTGGATGCAAGTGCACGAACGGTTCTCATATCCGTGGATTTCAAACGTGGAAGCTGTATCGTGGAAGATGATGGCGATGGTATTCCCCAGGCTGAATTCGAGACAGACGGTGGGCTTGGAAAGGCACATTGTATGTTACAGGCAGCGCGAGCGCGTGATATGCGATCGAATCGGTCACTGATACTGTGCAGATACGTCAAAGTTTCAAAAACCTGAAATGTATGGCCATCGAGGGTTATTCCTGGCTTCCTTGGCCTCCCTGGCTCTGCTAACCGTGACGTCTCGTCATTCCCAACATACCACCACGAACTCGATCATTTTCCATCACTCAAGACCTGTTGCGCGGATGACTCCTGCGCCAGCACACCAAAATCTCCGAGTCGGTGACCATGGTACCTGTGTAACCGTCAATGACATGTTCGGCAATATGCCGGTGCGCGTCAAAAGTCGCGCTCTCGCATTCCAGAAACCAGATGAGCTGGAGCGGGAGTGGGCGCAACTTAGATACTTGCTAGCTTCTCTCATGCTAGCCAATCATCAGCTCTCCAAGCTGAATGTCACTGATGTCGAGAGAGGGAAGCGGGTTTCAATTCGGTTAAGAAACGAACAGCCCGAGGTAGATGGGGTTAATCTTGGACGTATTGGCTCGGTTCTATCACAATCTGGCCTAGCCACATCGCCGACCATGAATACATGGCATGTCTTATCTGCCATGGTCCCTGATCTCACGGTCAGCGCCGCTATCTCAACTGAACCCAGCCCTTCGAAGAAGCTTCAGTTCATCTCGTTGGGTAACACGCCAGTGTTGTCTCGCAATGGCTCCAATGTGCTGTTCAGCGAAGTCAACAGAATGATTTCTCTGTCGGACTTTGGTAGTATTGGGAATTCATCCCGGGCCGTCTCTCTTCCTCGTCCTTCGTCTGGGCCAGGTCGCTCTGAAACCAACATGAGTGGCCGAAGCTTGACAAAGAGCATTAATAAATGGCCGATGTTCTATATAAGAATTGACACGAGCTCATCCCACAACCTCTGTGATGATACGGATGACATCGCCCCAGACTCCGAAAAGTCCCTCCAGCGTATCATCGATGTCCTTGGGGCCATGATCTTGGAGTTCCTCAAACAACAAAATCTGCGCCCTCGTGCTTCAAAACGACAAGCCCGGCCATCTAGCCGAGTAGATCAAATTAAGACTAGCGATGAACAAAGTGTCGGGCGTTCTCTAAACCCGAGGCAAAGGAGTTCCGTCGCAAACGCCGAAGAGAGCTTTGGTGCTCGGGTCAAACTGCCCACGTTTCAACGATCGCAAGCTGTGAACTCCGGCCAACACTTCAATAACTGGTCAAGGATTAAATCGGCCAAAGATGGTACATTTCGGGCGCCCTCTCTTGAAATTCTCAGCGATCCAAGAACCAATGAGAATCATCTCCAGGATCGACGACAGTTTCAGTCTCTTCCGGAGTGTCCACGGAATAATGGAAGCCCACAACTCCATGCCAATCCTTCAATTTCATCACGCTGTCTCTCCCTAAATCCCGTGTCCCCGGCGATGATTCATCGAGACGCAGAATTTGAAGGGGCGGGGTGCCCACTCTCTGATGCGATTCCTGATCAACATGTACCTTGGACCGATCCACATACGGGAAAGTCTCATTTAATCAATGCACGCACAGGCCAGTCACTCGATCCTCAATCGGTGTCCCTTGGGCCTAGCTTGCGATCTGGGAGTCTATTTGCTGGTCCGACTGAACAACCACAGAGAAAAAGCGCCCCGGCGGAGACCGTCTGGGTCGATAATTTGCTGAAGTCATGGGATAATCCTACTTTCAGTCGAACAGAGATCGCGGTGCCAAATCTTGACATTGGTGACAGCTATCCACACAATAGCGTCAACCATTCACACAGCTGTCTACAGGATATTGGATCTCTAGGCGGTGCGCGTGTTGCTAAATTCAGAGGCAAGCTCCGTCGACAAGTTCTTGCAGAGGCAACTATCATCTCTCAGGTAGATCGAAAGTTCATTCTTGCGAAGGTGGATATCGTCACTCCCGATGGCAATTTTCGTGAAGACAACGTTCTTGTTTTGGTAGATCAACATGCAGCCGATGAGCGATGTCGTGTTGAACAGCTATTCCAGGATTTGTTCCTTGCACCGGTCGATTCGACTCACGGCAGTACAGTCAGCACAACTGATGTCGATCTTATTATGCTCCAAGTTTCATCTACAGAGCAATTGCTCTTTCAGAAATATTTAGGGTTCTTTGGACATTGGGGTATTCACTACAAGATTGAACCATCTCAATCTGGATGTATAGTTTTGGTGACTACACTCCCGGTTCTCATCGCCGAGCGTTGCCGTCTTGAGCCCGATTTGGTTATTGACTTACTCGTCGGGAGATTTGGACGAGGGAGGAGGACGGTAGGGGACAGACGAATCAAAGACATCTTTGAAGAACTCTTTGTCCGATTTAGATCTATTTCCGTTTGGGGGGGACACCGCTAATGCAGAGAATTCCGCCTTGCCACATTCATGGGTACACAATTTGAGTGGTTGCCCCCAAGGAATCATCGATCTTCTCAACTCCCGTGCATGCCGAACTGCCATCATGTTCAATGACCCATTGAGTATTGATGAGTGCAAGACATTAGTCACGAGGTTGGCCCGGTGTGCTTTTCCATTCCAATGTGCCCACGGACGACCGTCGATGATTCCTATTCTCGATCTACGGGCACAGTCTGAGCATGGTCATCCGGCTTCTGAGGCAGACGTTGTACCGCATGACTGCTTTGAAGATAATGCTTTGGACTTTTCAGCGGCGTTTAGACTTCGATATGGGGATTGATGTCCATAGCCGCATATCTTCATCGCCTATTGCGGTACGTCTAAATACCATTTGGTAGAGCAATCGATCTCAATTATCATCTTCAGCAAGCCACATAGCCGTGCAACTCCAAATGGCCTGTTCCCTTGTCATGAATATTGAAGATAAAGACGGCTTCGCTTGATACCGATGTTTCAAGACCAGGACGGAGACGATAACATGTATGGTAAACTCCTTCTTTTGGCCATATGAAATACAAATACACAAACCCGACATTAAAGAAAAGCCACAGTCAAATCATAAATGGAAAATATGCTGTTGAACCCTCAGCCCGCCACATTATTGATGATATGTCATTCATGGTTTTGCGTGAACTTGCACGAACTAACCCCTCACCATGCAAGCCATAAACCCACATGTCCTGCATACATTGTTTGGCCAGCTTCCGATTAGTCCCAACCCATTGGAAAGTAAGAAGTGGGCATGCAGATTCAGGCATCCGTTTTATGCAATGACCACGAACCCTTCACTGTGCGACGGGGCCCTTCCTCATCCCGAACCCCATTTACATACATAGTATACGATCTGACACGTCCCTTGCATTTTTCACCCTTTCAAATTGTTACAGTTCTTAGTGAATTTCAGACCTTGATGGAGCACGGACATTCATGTAGGAGAGAAAGTTGGTGGAGGGGGGCTTATGCAAGGATTATCCTCTCCTGAATAGGTGTCTGCGATAGATCACTTTGCCCCTCTTTCGGAGATCTGGACGGTTACACACGTGCTTGCGGATTGACACTCTCCGGCTTTGTATCATCTGATCGGATCAAAATTTGTTTCTCGCTCGGAGAAAAAGAAATAAGATTAAGATTGGGTTTCGGGGGTCGATTGTCGAGTATGACGATGTTTTTTCTTAATAAAAAATTGACTGATATAGGATACATGGTTACTGAGGTCCGGGAGACGACCGCCTGACTTCCAAGTTTGGGTGGGGGGGATACAAAAGGAATTTGAGACTCAATTGACCTATTGAAGAATTTTTTTACAAAAGAAAGCAATCAATGCGAGTTGGATCATGATCGAACATGTGGCGGGCGTGTCAACCACTGCAAGTGCAAACAACTCTGAGAGAAGTACTACTCGCGAATAAGGATGCCTGGGGCATAGGAGACCCTCTTCTATTTTCACTATGGGTAAAAGGTTCATCGTCCCTATATATAAACGACTTGGGAAGATCTAGGTCTGCACAATAATTGCACCTTGAAGCTCCTGCACATGCTGACCTTATTCCAACTGATATTCTGCACTTTTCCATTTGTAAAGTCCGATTCTTCCCTTCGTCATTCATCAAACTTCTTTGAGTGGGACTATTACTAATTACTGAATGCAAAAAGATACATCAAGGTGACATTCCGTTTTTGGAAGATTTCAATGTCTATGCAATAATTCAATCCGGACCCTGGAATAGTATACAAACTAATAGTTGTAAAAATGCTAAATTCTCGCGAATACTTGCAAATCATGTGTACACCATCCTAGGTAGGCTCTCTATTCGTGCTCAATAATCTTATAGGATTCTCCGACAGAGGCATCGAAGCCTTCCGATATCCATACCTCCAAGTCCTCCGTGAGATGGCCATATGAGAAAGCTAGAAGTCGTATGGAAAATCAATATCAATTATGCACAGGTATTTCCTTTGTTGTTCATATTGTAACTGCCATATACCCAGTCGTGGGAGATTACATTGTTGAAAATTCCAACATTGAGTTACTGACTTTTTTTCTACAGTCTAAATGTCATTCATACTATCCCACTATCTCTTAGGCCAGGCCCCAGCAGCTGCCGGCCTTCCAGACTTCTCCTATCCATGCCATAAGGCTTGTTCTATATACCTTGATACTATTAGTTATTATTCACCTCTTCATTGAATCTCGCAACTTAAATGTCCCGATTTTCCAGTTCTGTGTTGTTCTTTGACATTAAAGTCTCGCTGGGAAGTACGCCCGGCGTTTCGCCGAAACAAACCAGCCCTACTTGTCAATTTCTCTATATCATATTAGCAGTTCTTGACTCTCGTACTCTATATAATATTTCATATCTACATTTTTCTCGAATTCAATCCTCTTTCCTGGGACCTTGAGTCGCTCGCGCAAGGCCTGCCAGGGGGGTTCGTGAGAGATAAGTAAGCCGATTCTAAGTCTACTATGCCTAATTCGAAAGCGAAAAATTGCGTGGAAGTGACTAGTAATCATTTGATTACCTTGGGACAAATATCCCAATTTAGTGCGAAGTGTCTCCATTTGATCATTTTAGGGTCGGCCTATCCAATCCGTAGTCGGGGACCATTTAGGAGTCGGCGAAGCTGCCCCCCAAGTTCTGTACTATAAAACCCCAGCCCCGGAGGAAATCTTTAGACTTTTCTTTCTCCCTTCTTCATCAGCACCCAGAATACATGACCATGTCGCGACTTCGAGATATCGGTGTTCCTCTCTGGGTGCTCGAGCACCAACGGAGGCAAAAAGATATCTCTACCCTCCTTGCCTGTCTACGAGATAGTCCCGACGGCAACACGATCACAGGCGATATGGAAAACCGTGTCGAACTTAATTGCCTGGACTACGAAACTGGGCTCACACATCCATCCGTGACTCCATACTTTGGACGACGGGATCATCTGGGCCTACTCGAAAAGCCCACCTTGATGAAGACACGAAGCCGATTCCTCCACGCTGAGAAAGACCGCGACTCTGAGAAAGACCTCAAGTTGCTCCAAGCTCTTGCTCACGAGATCGACATCCAACTCGGTCGTCACTACCGAGAACTAGAGGTTCAAAATGCAGCCCCATACGAATGGGAAGACATCCTGTAAGTTCCTTTCTTTCTTTCTTCCTTCCTTCCTTCCTATCAACCCCCTCCAGCTTTAAATCCACATCACAGATCCTCTGTTCTTCCAATAATTCTGACTATCTCATACAGCAACTCCTCGCGCGACGGAAAACTGAAATTCAACAACACTCAGTCCTGCTGCAGAGTCCGTCGGGCCGTGGAAGTCGTCGAAGAACGACGAAACCACCGAATGGCCCTCCTGCAGATGAACGCGCACGCTAACCCGGACAAACCCACCGTCACCGAGCTCCAGGTACTACTTCAGTTCATGAAAGACGGAGACTGGGAAAGAAGGGTCTGGTGGCGACTGAACGACAAGAATGTCTCTATGCACAACAAAACGCACCACGTCGTCCCGGTAAGTCCTTTGCCAGCCGGTCGTCAGACTCACGCGCTCATTCACTCTTCTAACATCCTCCCAGGTGCTGCTGGTCACTACATTCCTCGGTGGCCAAGTCCGCGTTATTTGGGGATACTTCGATCAAAAGCTCAAGGTCCAATACACCGAGCTTCAACAATTTACATCTTCCAACCTTGGGAAAAGTCTGGATGATTTGATGATGTGGGCCTTGCGATAGTACCAGAATACACCACACACTTTTTGCCGATGCCCAGAATCGCGGAATCGGATGAGGAGGCCGATTCGATTGAGAGTAACGAGGAGCCACAGGTTGAAATACCACAGGTTGTGAAGTCACTCGTGGAAGAACATGGCCAAGAGCCAGCGGGGCTTTACTGCTCGGTCCGCAAAAATGAAACCAGCATAAAGAGACGGAAAAGCCAACGTAAAGGGGACAAAAAAAGTCGGTGATGAAAATTATTTTTACGAGATATTTTCATTTTCATCTCCCGTGGTATTTGAGAAGGGATTGGATAGGACTGTGTGGGAAGACGGCTAAGGCATCAGCATCGTTCTCGGAAGATCGAGGAGAAAAACACACGGGCAAGCAGAGCAACTCAACCAATTCAACCCAGTCAACCCAGTCAGTCCAATACACCCTTCCCGAACCATGACCCGCGTTGGGTATTTGGGCCTGGGCATGGAAAAAAGCATAAGCCCTGAGAAAAAACAAAGAGAGAAACGCCCACCCGTACGGGCGTTGTGTGTACGGGGGCTTTCCTTTCCCTATCATGGGGTTGGGGGGCCACCTGAGCGAGACTTGCACCTTTTCGCGGTGCCCGGGATAAGTAGCCCGTCTGTCTGTGACGTGGTGAAACTAAGCAAGTCGGTACATACGTCCATGAGATATGGAGGCGTACATAGATATGGGAGGGATTGAAGATACCTCAACGCGGTGGACATACCTGTATAAGAGTAGACGATTAGAGCGAGCATGGACAAAGACAACAATAAAGAGTGTACATACTTGACATACTACCGCATGGCATGGCATGGCATTACTACTAGACTACATAAGACAAGACTACAAAAGAAGAAATCGATAATCGAAGCTCGTTGCATTTCAGGCAGCTTTTAGCTGCACTTAAGCCGCGAGGCTTATCCTTTTCTAAATAAAAAGGATGATTCACGGGCTGGACATGGTGGCCCGTTGATAAACACTGGCCAAAAACCCACACCCATAGCCCTGAGTATTTTCCCAATCCCACCTTAGACCAGAGAGAAAAGACCAAACAAAGATAAGAAACGAAATGAAAGGTCGATAACCCCGAGTGTACGCCGTTTTGTGCCGACCCAGACCCAGACCCAACCGAATTCCGTAGAGCGCTTTTCTTGGGACCGATTTCCCCGCGGGGGTTCACAGGAAATGAGGAAAGATACAAGCAAGAACAAAAAAAGAGGAGCGCCGCCCGAAGAGGATAATAATAAAGGGGAATATTCACAAAACATGATGATGGAGAACAGGAAAACTTGGGAAGAAAAATATGCAGCTAGCATTGATGAAGATGGTTGGGAGAAATAATAAAATAAGACATCGGTGAGCCAGAAAGGAAGAAGAAATCGCAGTTGGTCATTAAATCGTAAATGTGTGAAGGTGACAGAGCGAGAAGGGGTATCTTGCATAGAGAAAGAGAGGGAGAGAGGGGGGGGGTTTGTTGTGTGTGGTGAGTGTGAGAGACGGAGAGATGAAAACTTTAGCCATTTGTGGCGATAGACTTTGGCTTGGAGGGGTTTGTCCAAGAGAGGAAGTCAAATTTGTCTTTGGCATTCTCGAGCATGGAAGACGGGTTGGACTCAGACTGGGCTTGAGCTTGAGCTTGAGCCTGAGCCTGAGCCTGAGCATGGAGATTAGTCGAGCTGCCGTGGACACGGGGTTCGAGGATCAAGGACCGGCGATAGAACTTCTGCGCGGCGGACTCGCCATTAGAGCGAACGCGAACGAGCTCATTTTGCATCCAGGTCTGGAGTTCAGGGACCTCAGTCAGGCGGTAGGGAATCTGGAACCGCTGAAGCTCGCCGATAATTCGGGCGGTCTTCATGTGCTTATCGAAATTGATGCCAGCCATCTTACCATCATCCGTGGGCAGGGAGCGGACGGATTGGTTGCCATGGTCGATGAAGGTCAAGTCGGTAAGGTAGGTTCCGAGGAAGGGCAGGCACGGCGGTACATGGTTCTGAAGGCGCTTGCGGAGGACGACATAGTTCCGATCTACACTGACGATGTTTCTCAGATTGTTGAAGGAGTTATTGGTCTTCTGCGAGACGAAATCCCAGGTCCGCTTCAGACGTTCGATGGTAGACAGGTTCAGGGCACAGACGATTGCCATGAGACAATCGTAGTTATTCAGCTCCAGGCACTTGTTGCCGACCTTGATCCAGTGTTTGATGGTGGCAGCACGCTTCTTAGGCTCTTCCAAGCACAAGATGGAGTCAGCGACCAGATGGGCAAGGTCGGTCGACAGAGTGGTCATCGCGCGGACATTGACAGCCAATGAGCCAGACTTGCGGGTCCACTCGGTGTCGAGGAGCTCCTCGGGCAGAATGGAGCAGAAGATACGAGACGCCTTGATGGTCAACTGTCGGGCCAACTCGAGAGGATCAAAGTCCAAAATGCTGATCGAGCCCGAGCCATCCTTCCACTGTTTCAACAGGTGGTTCTCTTTCTTGCCGATGATACAAGGGGGGAGAGGGGTATCAGGGTTGACGTATTGGGCGATCGCGGTGTTGGTCTTGCCCATGGAGGAAACCAGACGGGGAACGACGGGGCCGTGGACGGCAGACACCTTCTCGGCGAGCTCGACGAGGCGCTTTCCAGCCGTGGGCAGTTCATTCATAAGACGAGTCTTTGCAAAGTTCAGGATGTATTCCAACGCATCATTGTCCCTGTCGTGGCGCCAGTGAGACTCGAGCCAGCCCTTGAACACGTTGTACACGCGCAACCGAACGGGGCCAGCAGCGTGAGGGGTATCGCCGATGTATTCAAAGCGCTCTGCGAGAGCTTCCGCGAACTCCAGCGGGGTAGCAAAGAGACGGAAGGTGAGGTAGAAGGTGGAGACGAAAGTGGCATCCGGAGTGGATTGGTGAGCAGTGAGCTTCTCAATCAAAGCACACATACTGCCGCCCATCACTTGGCCCTCCCTGTAGACCAATTCATGGGCGAAGGTCTTTTCGAGCAAGTGAGCCTCGGTCTCCTCGTTCTCCTCGGCCAAGGTCGAGTGGCTAAGACTCTCCTTGAGAGACGGCACCTTAAAGCTGTCGGTGAAGCTACCACCAATATCAGGTGAGGTAGCCCTGGTAGAAGTCTGGGAGACGCCACTCATCTCGGAATCACGAGCGTGGCTGTTGTAGGTGAAGCTACTACCCGTGCTTGTCACACCACGACCGAAAGATTCGCTCACGTCAGACTTCGGGTGACTCTCACGGTAAGAATCGTAAGAGGAAGAGAAGGATTGACAGTTTTCAGGGTGAGTAGGAAGGGTGGCGGAGTTGGGGAGGGAAGAAAGGGCGGAAGTAGAAGTGTGGGAGGAAGAAAGATGAGAGAAGAAGGAGGAAGAAGGAGTCGTTGGGTTGTTGGCGGTGTTGGCGCTGGTGGCATCGGTGAGGGCGGGAGTGGAAGGTGCGGTGGCAGTGGCAGTGGCAGTCAGGGAAGTCGCGATGGTCGAATTTGGAATTTGGAGGGGCGGCGGGGGAAGGCGCATTCCTTCTGTTCCTTCAGTTCCTTCCTCCGTGCCTTCCTCAGTTCCCTCTGTCGATGGCACGGGGTCCGTCTTCTTATCATCCTCCTCCACACTCTCCACACTCTCCACCTTCTCCTCAACAATATCAGGTACACCCTGACTTGGTGTCTCCTCATCAATTGCTTCCAGCTCGATATCTCCATTCTGCTCCAGAACCAGTCGAGCCTTGGCCAGGCAGTTCCCAGCAGCCCGTACACAGTCCGTCGCCGCATCAACCAATCGCTTACCCTCATCCGGCATAAAGACAAGATCATCTTCCTGCGCGTGAGCCGGACGGAAGACATCGCGAGCAGCGTGAACGAGTTCGGATAGCTTCTCACACATGGCCTCACGAGCCTCCTGCAGGAGAACGCTACGCTGGGTGTCATGCTCGCAGACTGCTTCAACCACATTCAACAGTGCCCGGCAGGACGACACGGCTTGTTGAGTGGTGGTCACCAGCTCCGTCGAGGAGCGAGACTGCATATGCAAACCAATGAATGACCCAAGCACACCTAAGAAGGCATCGTAGGTAGTGCCCAGTCGGTCCGAGGCCAGGTTCTCCGCACGAATGGCAGATGAGGGTCCGGAGTAGGAGACTCGGTGAGAAACTGATATCCTCTTCGTGGAAACTGACACTGGGCGGGAGGGCTCAAACATCTCCGTGCGCATCGATGCCTGACTCATATCCATGCGGCTGCGGCTCATCTGGCGCGACTCATTTCGTTCGGAGCAGCTATCGGGAATGACCGCAGTGTCGGCAGTGCTGAACGAGTCGGATGCTGGTGTTGGGGGCAGTTCGTATTGGCTCCGTTCACCAGCGGCTTCCATATCGGCGATTGTTCGGGTCAGTCCAACTTCCTGGTCCCAGACGTCGAGGAATCGAACACCCCGGGTGACGATCTTGAACGCCTTCAGGAGCATCTCGTCCAGGATGCTTTCAACTTCATCCTCGGCGGGGGTACCGTTGGCGACTTCTTGAAATCGTTTAGCAGTCTTGACTAGCGATGATAGATCGGACAGCAAAGCTTTTCGAATCCTCCGTAGTCCGTCGTATTTCTTAACAAGCGGGGATTCCCGCGTCAAGCATTCTGACTTTTCCTGATGAGGGGGTCAGTCTAGTTCGCGAGGAGAGAGGGGAGAATCATGGGAATCTATATTGTAGATCAAGGCCTCTCGACTGCTGCTGCTGCAATAGCTAAATTGGACTTACCAGTAGAAATCGGACCCCCGCGATGGGCCCTCGCATTAAATCCTGGTTTCCAAAATCTTTTAATGATGACCCGCATCCTCCACGAATGATGTCCCAGAAATCCGTCAGGGCCTTTAATAACGGACGCATGGCGATTTGGTCGTATGCTTCGCAATAATTCGTCGGTAACCAGCCTCGGTGTCCAGAATCTAATAAAGTACCATCGGCCCAGCCATTGGTGTGAACGGAGTGGACCAGGATGATATCACCTTGATCGAGAGGCAGAGTGACTGTGGATGGCGAGACATTTCCGGCCGGGTGGAAAGGATAGAATGCGCGGAGATAATTGTGAAAGACAGCCCTCGGGGCTTCGGTTTGTTCCATTATGTGTTGTTCCTTAGTTCCCTGGGGCGTTAATGGCGGGGTGGCTTCGGACTGGCCGTGATTCGAGTAGAAACGAGCCGGCGTTTGTTTATTGTTGGGGTTGGCGTCGACGTCGACGTCGGCGTCGATATGCGAATTCGACTTAGCGATGTTTAATGGTGGTATGTTCGGCTTCATTGAATCTGTTCTCTTTATTCTGTGTGGTATGTGTTGGGCAAGTGGTTGTTGATATTGCTGTTGGTTGTGGTGGTGATTGTTTCTCAGAAACCGCTATGGTCACGGACCGGATGCGTTTAGTCGATAGTAGATGCAGTTGACATGCTTTGCTGGATGCTATTCCAACAGGATGAATTGGACAGAGTGTCGAATGGTGAATTGAGGAAGAAGAGAGCGGGGAGGGGGGTCGGATCGACAGATGGCTGGGATAATCCTACACATCAAGGTCAACTGGAGCCGTTTCCAAAGGGCGCGGGCGCAGCAATGATCGGGTGGCTGAAAGGACGATAGGGATCGAAGACTGTTTGTACTCCTTGTGGAGGGGGGAAGAATGCGCGATACCAAGGGAGTCGAGGGAGAGAGGAGTCCCAAAGGAATGCTTGGGGGGGGTAGGAGGAAAAGGAAATAAAGGAAAGGTCTCGGACTTGGGAGATCTAACGCACCCTTTTTTCGACAATTACAATCAAGTAATCAAACTATAAACAGTAACAGACTTCCAAGAAAGGAGTCCGGAACATTAGAAGGACCCAGCCGGGAGGGATGACAAGTCGCAATTCGAGTGTCAATGCGAGGTTGGGGATCATGCACTGCGTCTCCGTCTATGAAGGGAGTCCAAGTGCGCCAGCCTTGTAGATGAAGATCGTAAAGCAAGGACGGACGAGTAAAGACCCGCGAACTGACTTGCAGTAGTAAATGACGAAATAGGAATCTCCTTCTTCTATTTCTAGGGCTTCGTTGATAGTTTTCGATCCTCAACGCAAGGGCGGAGGGACGTCACGAAAGGGATGAATGAATGTTATATTGCCACCGGCGGCAATGGCACAAGAGATCCAAGAGAAAAGGACTTTGGATCCAAATTAGAAATAAATCAAAGGGAAAAAAAAGCAGGGACTGCAAAATGGAACAGTAAAGGAAAGAAAAAGAGGAGGGCGAGGGATTAAGGGAATAAGAACGAGAGCTCCTCTGGAGTCGAGGAGGACCCAGTTGATTCTTCTGGGACTCGATCGGGACGATCCATATGGAATCCACCGGGCGTATTGGCCCCGTATTGACGGGGGGGGTGATGAGTATATTATGACAGCATTACAGACCGGGGGTGAGTTACGTTGGTGTAATGTGTATAGAGTTGGTAATCTTTAATTCTTTTATATTAATTACTTCTCCTCGATGGTAATACCATTACACCCGGGGCAGTCTGGTCCTTTTTATGTATGCTTTTCCATCCCATCTGTACCTAGGCCCAATAGTACCTTCTCCCGCCATGTCTGTTCCCCTATGACAGATAATTTTCTTTTTTTTTTTTCCTTTTTCTTTTTCCAACGTACTTTGTTTTTTTGGGGTTTTTTGTATTTTTTTCACATTCTTTCTTTCCGTCAAAAGAAAACCACTCCCCCCCCCCCCCCACCCCCAAATCCAGAAGCAATCCAAACACTGATACTGTCCCGCAATGGCGCCACTAGCACGGAGCACGAAGCTCACCTGGCAGTTAGCGTACCTAGCGTACCACTGTTGAACAGTACTCCGTACTCCGTACTCCATACTCATACCAACCCGTACTTTTTTCTTATGGGGTTAAGTGCTCCCAGACCTTGTTTTTGGGCGAATCCACCTTGCATCTGCCGAACGCTTCCCGTTCCAGACCGAAGGCCCATTTCCTAATTTTTTTCACTCCCAATTTTTGGCGGTTTTTAATTCGTTTACGCAAAGGAAAGCCGACCATAAAAAAAAGCCTCCCGCTGTGCCGCGCGAATCACAACGCCCCCTGGAAGAATTCTTGTGGGGGTTTTACTCTGGTCAATGTCTTGAAAATGCACTGGCCGTGTGCTGGAGCCTGCAGCCCCAAACACGGACTCGATCAGTCACCTTGTGGCAATTTTCGCCCTCACGTTGCCTGTCAACTATCTTTCCGGGGATCGACAGCGCAGCAACCGGCCCCCAAAGTGACAGCGGACGGAATAAGTCTGGTTTGGTGCACATCACGCTGGGTCTCCATTGAGACACTAAGTATAGGTAGTTTCTCTCTAGTCAAAGTACGAAAGACTGAAGAGAGAAATTGACGATCATACACAATTCTATAGATGATCGTGCCGTTTTCATATCGGTTCTAGAATGAATGAGGTAAATAAAAAATTAATCAAAAACGAAAACTCCATAATCCAACATCAAAATCCAGCCACCAACAAGTTCGTTTTTTTCGCCCCTTCTGTTTTCTTTCTTTCTCTTTCTTTGTTTCCTTTCCTTGACCCAACACCCCCTCATCTTCCCGCGTGGGGCGAAAAGCACATTGAGATATGAACCGCTGGACACCCGAGGGAGGTTCGCGTTGGTGTCTGCGTTGGTGGGGGATCCACCAAATGCGACATCCTCACTCCCCCGGTGAAATTTGAGCTATCGTGAACATCAGAACGGCCAGGCAAAGTCGCCGGTCCCATTGCAGAACCACCCGCGGCTTGCATTTTCATCTATAGTTAGGGTATAGTCCGTCGCGTATGCAGCTGCGAGGCATGGGCGGACGGGAAATCTTTGACGTGGACCCGCTGTCTTAGACCGTCCCCCTCGTTCAGCCTTGAGGGTGAGAGTCAGAGTACTTTTGTAATTTTGTAGAGGGCCAAGAAGGGACTCTGCTTCGTACTTAATACAGTCAGAGATTTTATCACCGTCTCGTTCTATATTAATAGATTAGGGACGAGAATTTTTCGAATAACAGGCTGTACAGAGTATGTAAATGTACACGTATCTTTTAAACCCGTTCGTGTAAAGATGGATGGATGGGGTCCAGGTATTATCATAATGATGTAGCTGTTAGCTTGATTGCTAGCTGGAGTTTGACTCGAGCTTTGTGTGCTAAATTTATCAAAGGAAAAAAAAATTGGAGACGGCGAAGGCGGTTTGCCCCGTCAACGGTCTGGAACTGGAGCATTGCGCATTGCGCACCCTTTCTGGACCACCTTAAAGATATTGCTGACCTGTTCCGTAGTTACTGTACTAGTATAGTTGTATCAATATGTTCTTAGTAACTGTACAGTAATACACTTGTTGGGATAAATTCACATGGAGAACGAAGCGTTTCCCGAACTGAGTCTGCTGTGCGGAATTGACCCTCCTTCATCCAACCAAAACGCGAATCAACGTAGTCTCGGTGATTCTGCAGTTGCCAGTCCACAATAGAATTTTGCGATGCACATCGCATCCTTCGACTGGTGCATCTCCCACCAGTCACATGTTCTGCACAGTAGTCTACTCCATACAAAGACATGCTTGGACGAGAGCGACCAGCGAGAAATGAAATCTCCGGGAATGATGCGAGCGGGGGGGGTCCAATGGGCATCACCAGCCTCCAGGGCCGAATGCAAGCCCCCTCCACATCATCACAGTGTCGGGCGCGTGTGAGCGTGCGCGATCTCTCACCCCTCCCCTCCAAGGGTTACGATCTGCGGCACAGAACTTGAATTGGGGAGAAGCTCCGGTGGCCCCCTAATCTTGAACCATGGGACCGCTCTTGCGGTTGTGATGCTCGGGCCAGTTTTTGATCACGGCAACGACTCACATTGCCCCCAGTTCGGATGGAGCCTTGGGGAAAGCTGTTAGGCGGGTCCCTCGGCACAAAGTGGGCTGCTCTGTTTGTTTTACCGTCTCCCAGCCGCCCAAGATCAGGGTCTTCCATGGCTATCATGTTTGACGTTGAGTCAGGAGTTGGAGGTACACAATATACATAGCTAATCGTTACTGAATTTTCATCAAAACATCTGTCCCAGAACTGTCGTTTGCTTGCGTCTCGTCCCGCAGCTGGCGCGCTGCCAGCACGGGGATTTTTTTGACATCTCCTTGGTCTAGGTTGTAGTGCTGATCTCGACCTGTTCAGTTTGCTTGGTGCATTGCATGGCGCGAGCGCGAACGCGTTCCTGGCGAACAGACACGAGACTTGATGCCCAAATTGTGGGGCAAAACAACGGCCTTCTTCAAATGCACCATACTTCTGATGCAGAACAAGGCAAATAGCTCGGGAAAATTCCTTGAGGAAAGCACATTGATGCAGAACGTGGGGGGAGATGGTGTGGCTTTTTTTTTCTCTCTTTCTCCTTTCCTCAACCTGAACACCGAGGGTTGGGGTTGGCATTCGGGTACTGCGTGGTACATGCTTATGCCGCAATAGATTCAACACCAGCAAACTCGCTAGGTCACAAGCGGAAGGTGAATCCTACAGTACTGAGAAATCTATGTCAGAAATCGTATTTCAATTCGATCGTTTTATTCACTTGACGAAGCACATCCGACAAAATCCTCTGCTGCATACTCGACCGACATGACACAGTCTCTTTCCACTTTGGGTGGTAGGCATAGCGAACTGATTCGCGGGGTTTGATACTTCGGTGCCAATCGTTAGCCTCGAACGGTCGCACGGCAGGCCTTCAGCTTTGGCTAGGGCTAGATCGCCGCAACTCGGTCGGTCACAAGCAGACAAACTCGGCATCCTAGTCAGTGGTTTTGCATTTGGGATCTTGGGGCCTGGACAAGCAAGTAATCACCCGCGAGGCACAGAAACATGACAAATAATCAGGGCAAGATTTGATCTCACCTTAAATGAAACCCTCGATTGGTTGATTAGCCCGTCAAGAGTTGGACTGTTCGCATCATGCTGTACGCCATTTCCAAGGTTGTTAAAATATATATCGGGTAATTCCGACAATTGCAGGTGGGCAATTAGAATTCAGCGACACAGTCTGAAAATTGAGCGGCGCTACTCCAACTTGAAAATCTACTAGTAGGTATAGACTAGATGCCTCGGTCTAATCGTGCAAAGGAGTGAACTTGAAGGTCCAAGGATACTGTGATGGGTGCTGCTGCGAAATTGAATGTAGACACACCGCCGCCGCCCGTGGCTTGATAATTGTCTGGCGCTGCTCGCGCATATTTTTTCCCTTGTTTCACTCTTCCATGTTCATGCTGTGTAACCTCGTGGCCTTTTTGTTGTTGCGGTCAGACTGAGGCTGAGATCATGCATATGCCAGGCCCATGACCGAGAGTCTGGAATATTGCGGCAGGTACTCCGTACCTGCAGCATAATCAAGTTTTGATGACTGCAGTTGGATCTTCAACGAATTCGATCTATTAACTCGTGTAACTACACCGACTAATTGATTCAATTATCCCGCGTACAGCTTCAATTGTGAAGAATTCAGATGTAGGACAGCTGCGGGATGCAATTTTGTTCTCTGGGGAATCTACCCCCGCGGATTCCAGCTACGCCACATGAATGAATCGTTACACAAACCTCATTGATCTTCTTCCTCGTGTCATGAAATTCATTACGCACAGATGATTGTCGGTCTACAGTGCAGAATATGGAGTCGTAGAGTGAATATAATAAAATACATACGATTTGTCTCTCGTACTTACAGATGGATATACGTTATGTCATATGTGGACTCGAGAAGATGGAACTTGCGCGATGGTCATCCAGAAAGCTGTGCCTAGAGCTGGTGATGTCACTTTCGTCAAAAGAATCAATGTATCGCCACCGGAATTCTACAATATGAGAATTAAAAGATAATGGTCAAGTAACAAGTCATATATTAAACCCACTGTCCCAAATAGAGGATATTGATATGTATAGTGGGGAGTGTAGCCATGGTACAGGTGGTTGATCACTGGGAAAGCTTTCGATAGCGCCAATGCTTCCGCTACCCCGGCCAACACTAACAATGAATATGCTCCTCCAATGGGAATGGACCAGTAGCGATCATTCCCAGAAATTTAGAGCGTACAGTAGTATACAATAATCTACGGTGACCAGATCCGAGTACTGTTTGGTTAGTGTTGGTGGAACAGATCATTGTCGATTTAGACATTGGATACTCCATGTACGGAGAACGGATACATCGATCCTATTTTCATTCATGCCACCAGGTAATCGTATTGAGTACATACCGCAGTACCAATACAATCAATACCTCCAATACCTCCAATACATATAATACCCTCAGAACATGGCCGTTCACATCCGAAATCAAAGACCAACGGCCCCGAATACATTCCGGTGCCAAGAGTCAAAGAAAGGGGCGAGCCTCGATGGGACTACACATCTCCACAAGACATGCAAGATTGTGCAATGATGGACAAGTCTAAAGCGCCGGGAAGGAATCCGCGAGATTTATGGAGTCTATAATAAATTAATTCCGACCGCGGTGGCACGATGGATTGGTCGACACATTCCCGCGCAACGGCTCAGCCGGTACTTTCTGGTCGAAGGAATCGCCTCGAAAGCCCCCTGTCCCTAATCCATGTCAGCGGCGCCGCTATCTACGAGGCTATCGAGTTATCGCCATCGTCGGAGAATGGCTGTATTTTCCAAACTTTGCCCATCTCGTTCCCCGTCCCTCGTCGCTGGATCCCGACCGGGGACTAGTGCCACACGCCGACTTTCTTTGTTAGAAAATGTGAGATCTCCATTTTTTGCCTCTCTCGATAGTGCCTGGTAAGTTTTCTCCGCACCTCGAGGTTGTTCCCAAATTTGGATCCCTTTTTGGCGCAGTCCTGGACTTTTTTTATTTATTTTAGCGCGAGCGGAATGGAGCTTCCGAGGCTCCAAAGAACAAAGAATCGGGATCTTTTGGTGGATACATAGTACAGTGGTGTGGATGCAACTGCGCCTGCGCCTGTCATCCAGCCAGTCGCGAGATGCATTTTATGAACGAACGCGATGTGCGATGCGATCATATACCCACTTTCGTGCAGTCTAGATGATCTCCCAGCTCAACCATAACCTGGAGGCAAATCTATGTTGAAAAACAATTACTCTTGCACCATCTCGGCAGAGCATTGCAAAATGCCGAGTTCTACGGCACATCATTTGCAAAAGAAATCAATAGTGCAACGTTCAACCAGTTTGGGGCTGCCGAAAGGGGGACCGGGGGGAAAGGGGGGTTCGAGAGTCAAGTCCAGAACGCTCGAAGTACTAGTTTGATGATCGGCCCCCAGAGTGACTCGGGGGCCAGTCTAGTGAGCTTTGAGAAAGAAGGCCCCGCGGCACGTGTCTGAAGGCATATGCGACACTAAGGCTCATTCCCTGTCGTTTTCGCGACACCCCTGAATCGAAGGAATTGAAAGCTGCCAGTGTGGAGTCGAGCAATATATCAAATGAACCGTGCCAACTTGAAAGAAAACGATAGTCTGCCTCGCGCAAAGAAACCACCCCGAGGCAATTGCTAGTTAACCAGAATGCTGGAGAAATAATGGCTGGCTGTCATATGCACATTCTAAATAGAGCGGCGTTGGTCTGGTCGTTGGAATCGATAGTTCCAACAGCTGCCCCTCAATTAGGGTTCGACGAGAGCGACGCCGTTGCCGCTGCCCCTCTTTCTTTGTCTTGGGACGGGACAAGGAGGGCTGATCGTAAATTTCCCGTCTATTGGGTATAGATGTTGGTCTTTTATCGTCATTATGATCAAAAGTTCTGTGCTTGAGACGAAGCGTTGGTAAAGGACGATCATGGTTTGAGTCCCATGGTTTTGAGTGTTGTGCTAGCTACTCGTACTCCACGAAACCGTTTGAATCACTACTCACGGGCCATTTCTTGCACCATGCAATCCTATAGTCCAGTCGTCACCCTCTTTCTTGGGCAGATAATTGTTTTTGTGGTGGAGACATGAGGAAGGAAACAGTCGAGAGTCGGCACCTTCAGGGGGAGCTCACGTGAATTACCGGTACGCCTGTAATATTACCGGCAAGTGGCCGTTACGCGTGAGTCACCGTGGTATGGCTATTACAATACATCCTTATGCCAAGCATAACAGGCTTTCTTTGTTTGAAACTTTAGAAAATACACATAATCAAATCAGTAAATTGGTCCAAGGTATTTTCTGGATATATTAGTTTCCAGATTTGACCCTCAAAATCTCATCTCTCCACTCGCCTCTCTATACATAGCAGGTCCGCCACTTGAGTTTGGAGCTTGACGATCATATGTGGCAACTCGATCGCCCAGTGCATGCAGCAGTGGGTAAGTACAAACTACGAGTATGCATGTACTATGTACTACTCGTACTAGCCAAATGGTCCTGTGCTGCCTTTTTTTGCCTCGCCATATATCCAATCCTTCAGCTGACAATGCAGTATTTATGAGTACATACTATCGCATTTATTCTTGAAACTTGCTAACCTTCACGATTATTTCCAGTATCAACTACTCCTATTTGACCCAGCACTGTTGTTCGAGCAACCAAAAAAGCTAACCCGAACTGGGTGGTTAATACTATCATCGTGAACCAAGAGTTCGTTCTGGTGGGGCTTCATCGGCGATCTAAGTGGATGCTCTTAGCTCATTGTATGGCACCCACGCCAGTCAAGAAGAGCGATGGCGGCGGGGCTTGGTTCTTGCCTCCTATCTTGACCTTCAGAACGTGCTGAAGCATCCACTTTGAATTGACGATCTTTTCTTGGTTGGTACAGCTCGGGATCTTCCTTCGTTTTCTGACGATACGTGAGGGTGATGAAAAGCCTGCATGAGTATGGAGCAAAAGCAAATCCGAGCCCTTCCTTGAGTGTTTTCACTCCAGAATCACCTGAAATGGGGCCCTGAAAAAACGCAGGAACCAATTTACAGTTCCCCGCTTGCAACCATGAAAGGAAAACAATCCGTTTCCTCAGGATTGGGGATCTGATCCGGGCCCCATCACACCCTCCCCTTCGGTAACCCCCTCCCCACGCGAAGAGGGAAGCAGATATTCTCGACAAGGAATCTCCCCGAGCGATCTGCAAAAACTCCCCGTCCGAGCTGAGCACATGAGGTTGGTGATAGAAAAGGCTCATCACAAACCCCTCACAGCCAATCGTCAAGCCAGGAAGTCACAAGCGAAGAGATCTTCCCGGGCGCAAAGTGTGCATCACCCGTGTGCCTGCAGAGTGCACGAGGCGCTCGAACTGCACAGTGTTCACCACAAGCCGGAAGTCTGGTTCTAGCACTGTCAAATCAGGCTGTCAGATCTCTAGCGGACGGGACGGAGTTCCCACTTCGTGCGTCAAGAGTTAACAACCGGTGCCCAAAGCTGGGCAGCGGGCAAGCTGGGAACTTTGCAGTACGGAGTACGGAGTAGGGAGTACGGAATACTGGTACGATTGTTCAGTGGAAATGCGAAGTGGACTCTAAAAACGCCCATTTCTCGGGGCCGACCCTGCGGTTCCATTTGCTTTAATCAATTTTTATTCTTAAAACCAGGAAAGGATTTGCGCTCGTCAATTGCATTCGGTATAAGGAGCAGAGGGGTGTTCCGCTCTGTCGGAATTCTTCTCTAAATGACGATAATCGTGGCTGAACGCTATGGAAAGTCTAGAAAAAGAAAGCCTCTGACGCCGTCGAACTTAGTGACGAACACTCGGGACCTGGGCGATCCTTCAGCAACTGACGGCCGGTCTCCGCTGCCTTCTTGTCTCTACGGAGTGTACCGAAGGCAGAAAAGGAGTAAATGGGAAACCTCTTCCACGCGAATTCATTACCTGGTGGCACGGTGGCTTGTCTTTCATTTCGTCAATGGGTCTCATAGATCCCAATCAGGAAGGTCAGTCGGTTCCCGTGCGGTTCCTACGGCCCGCCCCCGATTTCTTCAAGCCGTGCTCGCACAGTTTCAGTATCCACGAGGGCCAGCTGGTACCTTGTGGATCTGACCTTTTTTCTCCTAATTACTGGGCTTTTACTCCGTAATGTCCTCTGGGGCCGCGCGGGTGGGACGGAATCCTTCGCGTTTAGAATGGAGCACACGGTACCACGGACCAGACATCTGGAATATGTACTCCATACAGGATCAAACTAATATACCATCAAGGCTGTACGGAGTACGAGTACTCCTTACCCAAGCCATTGACGACTGAATAGTTCCAGAGGAAATTGATATTCTATTTCAGGAGGCTGTCGGGGGCTTTTCTTGCTCCGAGTCTAATGACTCGTAGAAGTCGAGTGGACATGCTTAATCCTGAAGCCGACGATTACTCGTATTAGACTTATAAGAATAGGAATACCAGCTAATCTGTTTTTGCTCAAGATAGAACCCTGTAATACGTAGCAGTAATGAGTATCTCTCTCCGGATGATTCTAGGCATCCAATTCATCCTTGGAAACCAATGGAAATTAAATTAGAACAGTATAGTACTATGGATGACTCTACAAGGGCTTTCTGAAATTATAGATCGACTTAAATTATCACAAAAATTAGACAGGAACATGCATTGAGATTGTAGAACCCCCCATCTAGATGACTTGGAAACAATTAGTAGTTTTAATGCCTCACCTGCTTTGCTCAAAATCCCCCCAAGACTACCCATAATCAACCTTGCTGTTGCTTGGAACATAAAATTCAATACTACTAGTACAGAGTACAGAGTCATACTCCGTACTTCCAACTTGAACGCTATGCAAATTTACCTTATAAGCCACCAAATACACATTCAATAGTAACAGAGCAAAAGGACATTATCGTATAGACAGCTCACAAACAAAAGGACGTTAAGCCCACTGTTATATTACTATACATAACAGGCCTCGCACTCGATCTGTTCCAAATAAAGCACCTTGCATCTTGTAAACGTTGTTTATGATCGAACGTGTCAACCCGCCACCCCTTGCGTCAGCTGCGTCTCACCAGAAGCCCTTTACCGACGTATGTGTAAGCCACGCAAACAGAGGGGATTATTGTTTCAACAGTTTTAACGAGACAGGAAGACCGTCGAGTCGAAATGCTAGGTATTTGACATATCAAGTAGAAAAGAACTACCACTTGCCTAGGTAGATGGGAAATACCACAGGGATATCAGTAGTAGTCGTATTGACGCGTCGCGTTAGGATTCCTCACGCCTGGAACGTAGCCCTTTGATCCAAATTTCACTGGAATGAGAGGAACTTAGCGCTCCCTCCTTGGAGGACATGCCCCTGCTAGAAAATACAATAAGAGTCTTTCGATCTTGACCTGGTTGCTCTCAGTAACTAAATCCCTAATACCCCACGGACTCGCTTGAAGCTATCTTCCAAGGTAGGAATACATACCATTTGCTACAACAACGCTTTCAACGGCAATGCTTTCCACGACAATTGGATACTTGATCTATAATAAACAGGAGCTAACATACCCCGTACCTAGGCAAAGCCACACAACATCACAATGAAGCTGATCGCTATCCTCGCCACCGTCACTCTCTCCTCCATGGTCGCCGCAGCCCCAGTTGGAGACAAGCGAGCATCTATTCCCAAGCCTATGGATCTTCTGGAGATGATGTACCCTCACTCGGGAATTCCCAAGCTCACCATGAAGGTTGAGAAGGAATTGAACCTTTGTATGTTCAGATCAATGATGAATCCTCGAACGTTCGCTAATCGAGGTTGCCAACAGAAATGATTATAATGACTGGAGAGATGTTTACAAACGAGAGACTGGAAACCAGACGTCCACTGGCACAATATTCAAGTTGGAAATCTCTGAGTCGGAGCCCTGGAGAGAAAGCGGAAAAAACTGGTGCAATGAAGGAGTTAGGCCCTTTTTTATGACGCAGCCAACCTGCAGATCTATTTGAATGATATCTAAATATAATCCAATGATTGAAGCTTATTGGCAGAATGCTTATTGTGTACCTCGCATATTCACGATTAAAACATCCCCTCCATGTCGAGATCTAGGAACTCTGGGTTACCAACGGCCATATCCGCCGCATTGAGCACGTCATCAATAGCATCCATCCCTGTAGTATCCATCCCCGTATCGACATTCAATCCCAAATCCTGACCCAGATCCTGACCCAGATCTTGACCTACACCGACACCACCATCCATGCCTGCTGCGGCAGCGGCAGCAGCTTTATCGAGCATATCGCTGATATTGTCTGGATTATCGTCACCGACACCAGGGCCGCTCACACCACCGGCCGTAGGTTCAAGATCCATACGATCCTGTCCATCGACACCGCCGAGGTGCATATTCTGGATAATGTTGCTGACATCGATATTCGAGACCTGCGATGGAGGTGCTGCCAGCACACTGACACGGCTCCAAAGCCTGACAACAATTTCCGCCCGTACGGGGTCCTTCTCTGATATCTTGGGGACATTGTCATGTTGCAGCGCTAACGCGTCTCTAAGCGTGAGGATCGGGCAGCGAGGCAACGCCTCCTTGGTCGAATCAACAGGTTGGCAGCAATTCTGGTCAACGGCAAAAGACTCGGCCATCGGCGCACACACAATAGTCGCCGCAACATCAAGCGCCAAATCAACGCTGCCTGTCTCGGCTTGTTGTTTAAGTTCGTCGAGCATGGCACCGAGTACTCGCGTTGATCCCAGAATCCGGATTCCGGCGAGGATTTGACGATGTGTGTAGGATTGTGGCTGCACGGCCATCTCGGAATTGCTACTCCAAAGGACAAGAGACTGAAGTGTACTGCGGATACTTCCTGGAAGACCGCCAACCGGCTGTGCAGCCCAGTTGTCGAGCTCGGAGCGATGCGAACTGCCCACGCGTCGGAAAGAAAGGTATGGTTCAAGGGCGTCAAGGATCGGTTTGATGTCTGATCTGGATTGGTGTCTGGTGCGAACATCTTTCAGTTGCTCTTCGAGAGGGCGGGCAGTTATATTGAGAACTGTCTTATGGATTGCTTGGGCCTCGCCAGAGATTGAGCTGGGCTTCACCAGGGAGAGAAGGGTTTTCAGAGGTATTGTCGGGTCGGTTTCGGACTCCCAGATGTGATTACCAAGCCAAGCAAGAGCTACCACTAGAGCAGGTAGCAAAAAAGGTTCCAGAAGATCTAGGGAGGTTAGCGAATTGACCCGACCGTAGGATAATGGGTTCTTTCTTACATTCAAACCCCCCCTTTCACCGTTTCAAGATCTAGCTTTCCTGACTCACATGCCCCAAGACTTTGATCGAAGAGTGTCGCCACGAGCAGATAGAATTCCTGGGGACTGCAAGACGACATAGTCTCTTCGTTGATACCCTCCGCGATGAACAGAGCTGTAATCCACGAGCCAAGGTCTTTGTTCTGCTTCTCGCTGAGATCGCTCAACTTCTGACTGCAGGTACCTCGGTCGAACAGTTTCAACAAGAAAGAATTATTGCTTGAGATTCCGATGTCAGAGGGACTCAGATCATAGCGATACTTGAACGCCAGGATTAGCAATAGAATACTGCCAAATTCGTCGTAAACGAGTTGGTTCTCGCCTTGTTCTTCATCCCAGTGCCAGTTGTCCAACAAGGCACAGAGAGGTTGCAGAACCTGTTTTGAGGTTCGGAAAAGTAGAATTACATCCAATGCTTGTGGGCGCCGCGAAAGTGAGTTGCAAATACCCTTGAGGGTCACCGTTTCTTTCTGATGGCAAAGACTATACATGACCTGCTATCGTTAGCCGAATAGTATGCTAGTCATCGAATGGAACACACCTCAGTCACAGCGCGAACAATTGCACCCGCATTACCCTCCATCGACTCAATTTCACCGATCAATTGGTCAGCCCGTTCCAAGTTGGTGGGTATCTGGGGGACGAGGTCATCCTTCTGGTATGGACCGCCCACAGGCAAGGTTTGCATAGGATTTTCTCCTAGGTATCGTTCTATGCTCGACTCTGGGATCAGTTTGTGAGATGCACAGGCGAAAAGAAACTCCTGACGAGCATCAGAGAGGACACTGCTGCCTTGCATGGAGAACATTTGCGAGAACGAGGGAACGCGTTGGGATCGAGTCTACTGAGGGCCTGGGTAATGCACATATCCATGGGGATTGGGACCATCGATGCCGTCGTCATCGCCGAGAACAGTGCAGGGAGCTTGTTCACTAAGAATGAGCGGAATAAAAACATCGTTCGGCCGGATTCATTGCGGTTGACACCATTGGATAGAACGTCGAAGGCGGCAGTGATCATCTCGGAGATGAGAACTTCTTGGTGACCCTGTTCAAGTCAGCATCGAGAAAAGGTCTAAATACAAACCAGGCAACGGGACACATCGAACTCACCTCATAACGATTGGTAAGGAAGTTGATCAGGATGGAGTCGTCGACCAAGGGACGTCCCACGAGCTATATGGATGTTAGAATGCGAATTCCCGCAGCAACCAATCAAAAATGGCCATACCATAGAGTTCAGGTACACATAGAGCCCAGCTCTAGTGTTAATTATCGGACCATCTATCACGGAAGTCTCAAACTGCAGAGAATTCACATCCATGCCATCGATTTCGGGATTATCCAGCTGCTTGGAAGGCTGCTGGCCATATAAATTAAACTCCTTCTGGAGAGTATCCAGCCGGTGACGAAGAGGCAATGATACATCGACACACATTGGGAGGTAAGATGTGATAGCCTGGCCAAGCTTGACTTTCAGGCCTACATACAACAGATGGTCAGTAAAATTCGCGGGTAATTGGGGAAAAAAATGAAGGAAGTGGGCTAGAAAAGAGACTGTATGACATACCTTGATGAGCGCGATCGATCCAAGTGCTGGTGAGTGCGTCTATCCCCTTTGGAGTATTAAATAAGGCAGCAAGCAGAATGCCGACCGATTCGAAGAGTGAGACCGCATCGGCGTTATTCAACAAGCCACTCGACTGTTGCATTATATCAAGGCTTCCATTATACCATGATACAACAGCATCAATCCATTCCACAGTTGATGCAAAGAGATCTGCTGCTTCGGCAGCGGCCCTGGGGATTGCACCTGTGGAGACGGCCATCATGACATCTTGAATGACCTTGATATCGATCATGAGAGTTGAAATCTGGGATTTAGATTCCGCATTGGCGCGAATAGACGAATGCTTCAAGAGACTTGTCAATGCAGCGGATGGCTTGACTTGGCCGACCTTGCAGAGACCGTCAACATAAACAGGCAACAAGGGATCCCAGGTGACGCTTGACGCAGCGCGGGCCCCAAGCAGTAGATCCAGCAGCTCATCTTCTTTGACAGGAGACCGATTTAGCATCAGCTTCGATAGATCCTTGAATTCATCGACATCTACTCGTTGCGACAAACACCGGTGGATGAAAGTCCTCCACCGATCCGAAGATGCCCCGTCCGGCAGCATTGCGGGGGCTTGCTGGGCATACCAAATGGCCCAGCAAAGATCTTGAAGTGATATATAGAGGAAGATATCAGATAATCAACTCGACGGGCATTTTTGGTGCAGTGAACGAGATCGATCTCCAATTGGGCCGAGGAGGCGGTTGTTTGGCTGACGATCACGTGATGTCTGAGCAATAAAATCACGTGTGTATATGGTCACGTGAGACATTCATTGTATGAGAAAGAACAACTTGAAGTCGTGAAGATCTCAAGCTAGAAATCATGAGTAGATTTGCAGTGGATAGTGCAAGGGATTCACAGGGCACATAATCTGTCCTTACGTTTTATTTAAATGTTATATTTAGAGAACGAGCTTTGTACTAAGGATGAAATCAGTATGTGCTAGCGTGGAGGTAAAAATCGAGAGCAACCCTGTCTGTGAAAAAGGTCAAAGCGAACGATATTCAAGTCAAAAGGGTCTCAAATTTGACTACTGCAGGAGTCTACTTCGTCTTCTTAAGAGGGTTTACTAGAGCGGAGTATTTATAGTAATTCATTGAATTTCATTATCATCATGACAATCCCAGCGAGACAAAAAAGCATGCTTAAGAGGGAATATCATCAAATGCATCACAGAAAAGGGGGAAATAACCAGCGCCTCTATCCAAAACCCGCTGACGAAAAGTAAACTATAGACAGGAAGAAAATGCATCAACCCCTTGCGAGGGGATCATCTTTTGTTTTGTTGATTTTGATCACAAAAGACAGGCGACTGATTTACCACCAGTCACCGTGGTCCTTCATGGCCTCAGCAACCTTGGTGAAGCCAGCAATGTTGGAACCAGCGACCAGGGAAGGCAGGGAGCCAGCGGCGGGAGTGACATACTCCTGGGCGGTAGCCAGACCGTTCTTGAAGCAGTCCTCCATGATGCCCTTCAGGCGGGAATCAACCTCCTCGGAGGTCCAGTTGACGCGAGCAGAGTTCTGAGCCATCTCAAGACCAGAGACAGCGACACCACCAGCGTTGGCGGCCTTACCGGGGGCGTACCAGATAGCGGAGGCACCGGCGTTAGCCTCACGGTGGGCCTCGAAGACATCGATGGCATCCTGAGTGGAACCCATGTTGGAGCCCTCGGCGATGAACTTGCAGCCAGCGGCGATGAGAGCCTTAGCCTCGTCACCGGAGACCTCGTTCTGGGTAGCGGAGGGGAGAGCGACGTCGATGCGGCCGGTGACGTTGGTCCAGGGGCGGGCACCGGGGATGTACTTGAACTTGGAAGCGAAGGCGGAGGTGGAGGCGAGCTCGGAGATCTGCTTGCGCTCGACCTTGATGGCGGCGATCTGGTTGATCTCCTCCGGGGTGAAGGAGCCCTCCTCAGAGTTGAGGAGGAGAGCACCCTGGGAGTCGGAGAGCGAGATGACGGAGCCACCAAGCTCAATGACCTTCAGAGCGGCGTACTGGGCGACGTTGCCGGATCCGGAGATGGCAACACGCTTGCCAGCGAAGGACTCCTTGCCACCAGAGGCGTGCTTGATCATGTGCTCAACGTAGTAGACAACACCGTAGCCAGTGGCCTCGGGGCGGATCAGAGAACCACCCCAGCTACCGCCCTTACCGGTGAGAACACCCTCCCACTGGTTGCGGATCTTCTTGTACTGGCCGAACATGAAGCCGACCTCACGGCCAGTGACACCAATGTCACCAGCGGGAACGTCAGTGTCCTGACCAATGTGCTTGCAGAGCTCGGTCATGAAGGAGACACAGAAACGGCGGATCTCGTTGTCAGACTTGCCCTTGGGGTCGAAGTCGGAACCACCCTTACCACCACCCATGTTCAGGCCAGTGAGGGCATTCTTGAAGATCTGCTCAAAACCGAGGAACTTCAGGATGGACAGGTTGACGGAGGGGTGGAAACACGAAGACCACCCTTGTAAGGGCCAAGGGCGGAGTTGAACTGGACACGGAAACCGCGGTTGATCTGAACGTTGCCCTGGTCATCCTCCCAGACAACGCGGAATTGGATGACGCGCTCGGGGACGGAGACGACCTGCAGGGCCTTGCGGAATTCGGGCTTCTTCTGGAAGAGAGTGGAGTTCTCGAGAGTTGAGGCAAGCTCTGTTTGATATGATTAGCGGAGGTCCACTTGCCGAGCCGAGAGGCTAGTAGCTTGTATTACGTAGCCCTAGGAAAGCCATCGAGAGGGAAAAGATGGAGGGGTAGGAATTGATGATGGAGGGGTAGGGTAAGGTGATAAGAATATGCCATTGCTCAAATTGACATCATTCCATGGGATCAAAGACATACCCTTGTAGGCCTGCTCGAACTCGGGCTCGTGGGGGAGGTTCTGGGCGGTCATTTTGTAGATGTAAGGTGGATAATAGGTTTACTCTTGGGGGTATTAATGAAATTAAGGAAGGAGAGAAGAGTAAACAGATGAATGAAAAAGAGAACGGAGGGTTACGGGGGAAGTAGAAGAAATATATACAGGAGCGGAGCGGAGGAGAGGAACCAGATGGGACCAGATGGGACCAGTGGAAGGGAACAAGAGCCGGAGTCGGACGGGCACGACGGGGAAACACTGAGCCAGCGAAAGTCCGGAGTTGGCATGGGAAGATTTGCCAGGCAGCGTTGCACAGCGCCAGGGGAAAAGTGCACCAATGATTTCCGTGGGAAGAACGTCCGAAATTTGGGGCCCACCCGCCCAATTTATCTTATGCGTTAAGTCACAGATTGCTTATCTGTGGCAATACATACACACTAACTGGTGTACACTCGAGGGCATCCCATATGTAGTTACTCTACGGCATGGAGTAGTATCCTTGCTCGTTCCGTTCTATATTCGTGCCCTGCCCTACCCTCCTCTCCTCTCCTCTCCTCCCACTTTCCACTGCCTTTCTCATCGGATCGGTCCTCTCCGACGTAACCCTAAAACGGCTAGTGTGAGGCGGAGAAATGCATGTTGCAGAGAGGTGGTTCAATGTACATTAGACGGTCACTTCAAGATGTAGTGTACCTAGGGTAAGCAAGAGCTTAATTTTTCTATGGAGTTCGCACTAGATAAATACTACATTACTCCTTCTTCTTCTTTTTGGTTATCCCAAATTCAATCGACTGGCTGGAAATCAACCTCCGCTCGGCAATATGAATCACGTGAATACCGCAAACGGGGGTGGCAGCCCTAATTGGCCATCAGAGGAATGACTCCACCACCTTATCTGAGGTTGGGTTTTGATTTTTCAATCCGCTTGCTCACAGGAACTGCCCATAGGACCACCCACCTTTATCATACACCCCGCCTTCGGGTGCTGCAGGAATCGGCAGATTCTCTTATTCGATTCCATCGGCTCACCGGGCCCCATACTCGGCATTCCAAGTCATGATCAATCTCCAGCCTCCAGCTTTGAATCTCCGTCATCGTTTTGGTTAGAAGGAGGAGGGGTAAAGAGGGGTGGAGGGGTAAATATAATTAATAATTCTTGAACTTATAAACTCGTACAGTTTTGAAGCTCTCTTCTACTCCCATATAATGTATATTCATTCTACAACTCAATTCCATCTCTATTGTATTAATTTACTATTACCTTCACTTATACTCGTAATCACCCGGCTAAACTTATAATTCATCACTTATTTCGTGGCGCGCCAAGATATCTACGCTCAGGGACGTCGCCCCGCCGGGGTTCGAAATTTAACCCTATTTGCCATCCCGATTGTCGGGTCTACCATAGGTCCTTTGTCTAAGCTTGGGGACACGTAGCTCTCCAAGAAAAAAAAAGCAGAGAGAGATTACACGAAGTTATACGAGCTAGTGACCAAATTATAATAATAATCAGCGGCACCGGCGCCCTGCATATCCGTGCCAGTTTATCCGGGGACACTTTGCCTGCCGTGCTCCATTGGATATAATTGTAGCTACTGCATCTTTCGCCACAATGATCGTCCCCGCGCTGCAAATTACCGGCTCCATAATTGGTTGGTGACCCCTCTTGGATTTCTGGTCTGTTGATCAAGCAGATCCCAGAACCAAAATTTAGTCCCTTTCTGCCCAGGAGGCTGCGCTCGACCATCCATGCTTCCCGTTTTGAATTGTGTTAGCACTCGAATATACGTAAGCCTATTCCATCTTATCACTGAGCGACACTCGAGTCTGATCTTCATAATACATAACCCCCCCCACGCTCTCAGTCCAGACCAGTCAACGCCCAAACGGCATCTGTGCACGTGCTTGCACCCACACCGGCACCCCAGACAGGGTCGGGTTTATATCCGAAAAACGGAGACTCCATGGGGAGCTGCAGCCGCATTCTGCGACGTAATTTTAGGCTGAGCTATATGATAAAAATGCTCGAAGGGGCCATCCAGACAGTTCTTTTGTTAAGCAATTCACTGTCCTCCGATATAGATCCGACGCTAGTTAAGCTTTAAGCTCCTTCTAACTCGAAGCAACTAGTTGCCTCCGGATTTGCCTAGTCTCTTCGTAGCGCATGCTGCAGGAATACCTTATCAATCTCCGGGGTCCCACGATTTATGTTGTGATTTGTCAAGGTTTGGGACCCGACTGGTCGTACATAGGTTACCCCGTGCCCTTTGTGTTATTTGTGCTCTCTGTGCATTGTATAATTGTTTGAGTTTGATATGTTGCACAAATACCCCATTGTTCTTATGATTCTACTAGACTAGAATTGCATTAGTATAATTTGTCGTTAAAATAAGGTGCGCTGGGTTGCCTCGTGCATTTTATTCTGATATGAAATCTTGCTTGAGTTAACTCGATCAACCGTCTATACTTTAAGTTAATAAGTAGGGGAGGATCTCCCGAGGTCGTGGACCGGTGCTAGTTTCACTACTTGAGAAATAAAGAAAAAGCTCAAGTTTATACATATTATGTTTTCACTAGTAACCATTGAAAATTCAGCATTTCTTAACTGGTGCTACGTCGGAAAGTGTCGCGAGTACTACTAATGTCATCGATGAGCCACTGGCAGTCACATACGTTACTCTTCAACTTTAACATCTTTTTCAAGTTCAAATACAACAGGCGGTCGCTCATGTATATGCGATGAATACTTCAATGATGCAATCTTTATTAGGCTACTAGTTTGTATAGAGCATCCAGACCATCAGAATCCACTACAAACCCTGGAACTATCCCCACAACAGCCAGACTCCCTAGCGCCCACAGGCTCCATGCACCCCGGATCGCAACATATATACCTCCACCAGAGAACGAGAATTCGACACACAATCTCCAATCAAAACCTTGGAATAGAACCACTCGTATATTCTATTTCACACTAGTAGACAGATCGTTCTCACATATTTACAGCACAATTCCTCCCACCCCACATACTGGTGGTCACAGTGGCTCGTTCCTCTCCGCGGAACCCAAAAACGCCCGAGGCCATCGGCGGTCTCCGCCAACACAACCTCCCGACCCCTCGAATAATAATAGGAAGAACGCCATTCGACCAGTTTCCCTATCTGAGGGGCTGTCCCTTTGCACCCGCTAGCGCCCGAGAAATATCACCGTGACGGATGGCACATCCATTTTACTTCTCTGATCTTCAAATGTATCGTATGCTTTTCCCGGCCGAGTCGGGCGATCGTGAAACTATCGCCTTTTTGCGGAGAAAGCTGTTAATTTGTACAAGTTTTCTGCTGCTTGCTACCTGGTGGTGGCGACTCCAGAATGTTGATTACGACTTCCGACCGTGCGATCGAAATACACAATTCTGGGAGGTCATCACAGTAAAGCATTGCGAAGATCGCTGCGGAGTCGGCGGCTGTGTTGGCATATGGTTCTGCAGCTGGGGGTGATATATCACATTTTGAAGATCTCGTTCGCGTCTGGACGCGATCGGTGGGAATTTGGGATCGCTCGGTCGTTGAGCTGAATACGGCATGCAGGATATATTTCTGCTTCAAGCGAGCGAGATGGACCTCAGGATTAGAGCGGTAAGGTGAGCGTTCTGCGGCTGGAAGTGATATGAATATTGCGAGGCGTTCCAAGGTTTACGATATGGACAATGGTTTTGGATAAATTTTGTCTGGCGATTGGTCAGATGGCAGTCATTAATAAATGGCGAAAAAGCAAAACAAAAAGCAATCTGTGCTATAGCTACATATGTTCCATACTAATAGAGTGAAACATGGACAACCTTACAAAATACATTCCAAGGGTATGACTTCTTGCAGCCATGGAGAGAACTTGAATTTACATCGTCAGATCAGCAGGGACCTCCCTGTCTTCCAGGGCCCCCAAGCCAGTGCGACCGGTGGTGTTTGAAATATAGTCCCAAGATATTACTATGTCTTAGGCAGCGACACAGCGGCACTCCGTTTGAACACTGGCACCAAGTAGGATACGAATAGTTACTAGTCCCAACATACTACGGAGTAGTAGCATAATCAAGACGAGATAATCCCGCGCTTTGCAACCTAGTGCTTAGCGTCAGAACAAACCCCATAGGACGCCAGCGGTGCCCAGCACTGAGCGACAGAATGCGAATATTGGGCCTCAATACTCCATTCACCCAATTTCTACCCAATGGCACTAGAAGTGCCACCTTGTGGAGGCCATTATCGTGACTCGTAACCTAAATAGGCATATACCCAGACCCCCAGCGTCGAAGGATCTGCCTCGCGCTCCACGGTGGTCATCATGCATATCCTGGAACGCGGCCCGCATAATCTGTGCAGAGCGTATCGCCCTGGTGAACTCTGATTTACAATCTTGTGGAAAATTTATCCTTTTGCTCACGGTAGGTTTCCAATTTGGAGAGTAAAAAATCGAGCCATGTTGGGGGCCAATTATTGGCCGGGGTAGGCCAGGTCAGGTTAGTTTCACGGAGGCGTCGGAATATTGACAGGGGAGTGAGAACCGAGAATGGCTTGGACCCCGATCGTAGACCCCATACCTGTCATGTGGGAATCGAGTGGGCCTCAACATCTCCGCATGTGGCAAATTGAAGGGGAGCACGGAGTCAGGAACAGCAGGGTTCTTGGATTCAGGTTGAATAAGGAGTTTCCGCAAGAAGAATTGCCCCCTTGAACAACTCAATTGCTGAACAAAAGAGATGCGAAAAAGAGAAATCAGAGTATGGAGTCCGGAGTAGTTCGGCTATACGGCCATTGTTCATCATCGTGTCCGTGCTAAACAAGAATCAGCTAGCTACCCAAACCCCTGGGTCTAAGCACTCTGATTTCGTGCAGCTGGACCCGCCGCATCTTGACTCCAGAAAAGGGGAACCCCATAATCCTATGTCCCCATTCCTCTTCAAATTGTACATTACCTACTCCGTACTCGACCCAGACTTTTAAAGCGAATGGTAAAATGGAGTAAATGTGGAACGAATC